TCCCCATCACATGTAGGGAAGTGTGGTTGCGCAGCTTGTCCCAATTGTAGCCCCATTGTTCCAAATGGAACACAGGGAGGTTCCTGTGTTGGCACACTGTCCTACTATGCTGCCACCCCAGTTGAGCCACAGAGCCCCACCAGAGGTTGGGCTACATTGTGTGATGGGCAGCATGGCGCTACGTCACTCAACTGGGACAGAAACATGATAGGATGCTAATAATTCGTTGTGTGATGAGGTCGTCAGTTTCCTGCAATTGAAGTAAGAGGATGAAAGTATGAAGAGGAGAAAGAAATGGGGTCATTTTAAAGACCGCGCAAAAGTGGGATGGCAAAAAATGAATTAGGACAGCTGGGGCTACAAAGCTAGAAATATTAATTAAGACCATGTCTACATTATGATTTTTAAGTGGTGTTTTGCCAGTTTGATCTGCTCTCATTTCCCTTCCCAGTGCCAGCCCAAAGTGCAGATGGTGTTCTTAGGAGAGATTGGAAATCTTATCTACGTCAAAGCATTCTTGGGAATGAGAGGAATAAGAAGATCAAAGAAGAGTGTGGTGAGAGAAGAGCAGAGATGAAAGACCTATGTCTAGATGTTAAAGTGAAATTGCAACCAGCATGGCCAGTGAGGAAGAGTCATGGGAGTTGCAGCGGCAACAACATTTTGAAGACCCTACAGTATAGAGTCCATTATTTCATTGGGGCCTCCCAGGCCATCAAGGCGAAGCCCGCTACTGATGTCAGATCCTCAGAATGTGTCAGACTGCAATGCACATAATCCCCACACAGGACATCCACAGACCATGCTAACTGGGGACCATGAGTGTTGCAGTCCAACACCTCTTGAGGGCCCCAGAATGGTGGAACTCAACCATCGGGCTCCAACTGGACTCTGCAGCCCCATCCCTCAATAACTGTATGGGCTGAAATATCAATCAATGAGATAAAAGATTGCTTATGGTACTTCATGCTTACCAAGGGAGCATCTTCGTCCGGGCTGTAGCACAGCTGGTTAATCGCCAGCAGCAATAGATCACTGCTGACCAAAAGATGGCAAGTTCGAACCCCGAGTCGGATTGAGCACCTGACCACCAGCCTAAGTTCACTGTCCACCTAAGCAGTTTGAAAACAGCTGAGCTGTGAGTAGAGAAATTCGGCACCACTTTAGCGGAGAGGTATTTTACTACACCATAAAATGCAGGCAATCAAAGAACAAGGAGGGGAATTCTACAATCAAAAAGGGCTCGTCGTCTCAACAGAAAAAACGAGAGTACCCCCCTATGGCCAGAATCAAGCATAACCTCCAGGCACCAAAGTTGAAAAATGCAGAAATACCTCTATCTGTCTGTCTGTCTTGTATGTCTAAAATGGCATTGAATGTTTGCCATTGTGATCTGTTCTGAGTCCCCTTCGGGGTGAGAAGGGCAGAATATAAATACTGTAAATAAATAAATAATCTCCCGTAAATTTGACCTAAGTGATTGAGGCAAATCACAGCCAAAGGCTAGAAGGGCAAATATGGCAGGACTTGTTAAAAAGGGAACAAGAATGAAAAGGGACAATTGGGATACATTTAGAGAATTCACTGGGAAGGAAGATACTAGTTTATTAGAGAAGTCTGGACTCCACTGTGGACAGTGGGGAAAACTGAATGGGAAAAGCCACGTGATGGAAAGGGCAGGGACCAGGGAAGGTCTAAAGAAGGGATGTGCAAGGATGATGGAGAAGAGGGGAAGGAAGGCAAGGTAGGAAGAGGGCTGGATGAGGTGAAAGAAGCTGAGAATGCAGATGCAGGGAGGGAGCTGACAAGTTTGGTGGTAGGACTGGAAAGCAATGCTGTAGGGGCTGCCCCAGAGCCAATGGCAGCCTTGTCATTGCCGTGAGTGCGCTGGTGACGGTTAAGGTGAGAACTGCGGCTGAAGCACTTGCCACAGACACTGCACTTGTAGGGTTTCTCCCCAGTGTGGGTGCGCTGGTGGATGGTAAGCTCTGAGCGCTGGATGAAAGCCTTGCCACACTCCCCGCAGGCATAGGGCTTCTCACCCAGGTGGGTGCGCTGGTGGGTCAGCAAGTTAGAGCTGACACTAAAGCACTTCCCACAGGTGTCACAGCGGTATGGTTTCTCCCCAGTGTGCATGCGCCGGTGGATGGTCAAGTCCGATTTCTGGATGAAGGCCTTTCCACAGTCTGTGCAGGAAAAAGGCTTCTCCCCAGTATGGATGCGCTGGTGCTTTCCCAAGGCTGAACGCTGGGCAAAAGCCTTCCCACAACTGTCACACTTAAAGGGCTTCTCTACTGGCGGGACCACCAGCTGAAGTGGGATTTTCCCCAGGATCTTGCCACAGTCCAAGCAGTGGCCACTACGAGTCAGGCGCCCCTTGCCACTATACAGCTGGTGCTTAAGAACTTGCTTGCTCCCTGTGCTGAGAAGAAAGCCCTTGATGTGTTCAGGGCAACGATGGGCAGCAGCTGCTGCAGCCTGGGCTTGGTGGACTCTCTGGTGCCGGTCAAGGTGCGAACTGACCGAGAAGCCCCGGCCGCACTGAGCACATGTGTAGGGGCGTTCACCTGTGTGGATTCGCTGATGCCGCTCCAGATCGGAGCGTTGGATGAACCGCTTCCCACAGTCACTGCAGGGGAAGGGACGCTCCCCTGTATGAATGCGCTGGTGCTGCGCAAGATTAGAGCTGCGGCTGAAACGCTTGCCACAAGCATCACATGGGTAAGGACGCTCCCCAGAGTGGATCTTGCGATGCTTTGAGAGTGCAGAGCGCTGTCCAAAACACTTCCCACAATCAGGACAGCGGTGGGCAATCACTGGGGCTAAGCTGGCTGCCAGGGGTTCCTCTGGGTGACTGTGCTGATGAGTTCGCCTGTGGCGATCAAGGTGGGAGCTGACCGAGAAACTCTTGCCACAGTCCTGGCAGGCGTAGGGGCGTTCTCCCGTGTGCACCCGCTGGTGCCGCTCCAGGTCAGACTTCTGGGTGAAAGCCTTGCCACAGTCTGAACAAGGGAAGGGACGCTCACCAGTGTGCACCCGCTGGTGCTGCGCCAGGTTTGAGCTTCGGTTGAATCTCTTCCCACAAGCCATGCACAGGTAGGGCTTCTCCCCTGTGTGGATCTTTTGGTGCTTGGCCAGGATGGAGCGTTGCCGGAAGCAGCGTCCGCACTCGGGGCACTGGTGGGGCCTCTCTGGCGTGGGTACACTATGGCCTCGCCCAGGACCACTCCAGGTCTTCTTTCCACACTCAGTGCACACACTAGACCTTTCCACCTGGCCCACACACTTCTCTTTTAGCCTCTTAGGTGCCTTCCCTTCCCTCTGGCCTTGTGCTCCTGGGCTTTGTGTTGGCTGGTCTTCTGGTAGCTCAAGCTGGCACTGGCTACCACTGGCATCCCCCTCATCTGGGCTGTCTGGTCGCCCTGATGGAGATTCCACCGCCTCTGCCCTGTCCTCTTCCAACTGCAGCTCCTCTTCAATCTCCTCAGCAGCTGTAATTCAGACGGGAAGAGGACAGAAATCACAACCATTTCAGCTCCAAAGCTCACCTTCTTTTTCCTAGCCTATACTTCAGGACTTAGCCCTCACTTCCCACAGCTATAAACATAGAAACCTAGAGTTGGAAGAGACTGTGAGAAATATTAAAAATTAACTAGGTATTTTTAATTACAAAAATGTGAGTCAAGCACTGAAAGAGTGAGTAGGCCGAAGCCTGTTAGAGCCAGTGGGCCAAAGCTAGTGTCGTCCTGAGGAGAGTGAGTAGGCTGAAGTCTGTTAAAGCCAGTGGGCCAAAGCTAGTGTCCTCCTGAGGAGAGTGAGTAGGCCAAAGCCTGTTAGAGCCAGTGGGCCAAAGCTAGTGTCATCCCGAGGAAAGTGAATAGGCAGAAGCCTGTTAGAGTCAGTGGCCCAAAGCTAGTGTCGTCCTGAGGAGAGTGAGTAGGCCGAAGCCTGTTAGGGCCAGTGGGCCAAAGCTAGTGTCCTCCTGAGGAGAGTGAGTAGGCCAAAGCCTGTTAGAGCCAGTGGGCCAAAGCTAGTGTCATCCCGAGGAGAGTGAATAGGCCGAAGCCTGTTAGAGTCAGTGGCCCAAAGCTAGTGTCGTCCTGAGGAGAGTGAGTAGGCCGAACCTGTTAGAGTCAGTGTGAGATAAACCTCAGTGTGTGAGAAGCTTCGGTGAAAAAGGCCCTATGTTAAAGTCCTCATATGTAAAGCTGTGTGCAAAGCTACTATGTGAAACACCTGTGTAATTTCAGTGTGAGAAAAGGCTCTGTGAGAAGGAAGCTGTTTATCTGCATGAGAAAGAATCCCAGCATGGAAGCAAAGAAGGAAATATAAAGGACTTTATTTGTGTTGTGGAAACCTTGTTCTTGTAAATAGTGCAACTACTGTATATTATTTTACTACAAAGAAAAGCCTCCTATGGAAGAGATAATATCAGTCTGTGTGTTTTCGTTCTTGTTATCACTTGTTCTACTGGTGCTGGGTCATGCTGCTGCTGATAAGTCACTCTGCTGCACATTTATAAGAAGAGTCTTTTTGTCAATGAGCCTACTGGCCCAACAGAGACCACAAGGCCCATCCAGTTCAACCCCATTCTGCTATGCAAAAGCACATAATAAAAGCATCCCCAGCAGATGGCCATCCAACCTCAACTTTAAAACTTCCAGAGAAGGGGACTCTACTGGACTCCGAGGCAGCAGCATATTAGACTGCCAAACAGCTCTGCAAGTTTATCTAACGCCAATGCAGGACACTAACAGGATAATGTCTAAAAAAATCCAGTAGCTTTATGGAAGTTTTCACTATTATTTCATATGAATGTCACACACACCCTTTTTACTGCCACCGCAGCTCATGCGATGAGACCCGCCCACCTTCATCCTTGTGGCTCTTGGGCACCTCCTTCTTCTGGACTTTGTGCTTCTCCTCCTGGCTCTGCTCCTTCACCAGCTCCCGCAGCATCTTCTCCACTTGGCTCCGGCCTGCGGTCTGCAGGATGAGCCCCAGCTGCCGGCGGAGGTCAGCATTCATCCCGCTTTCACTTAGGCCGCCTACATTGGAGTCTTGGATGTGGGCTTGTTCCGCTTGGCCCTGTTCAGACTCCATATCTACACCATAAAAAAAAAACATGGCAGAAATTATGAGGGGGAAAGGACTGGACCAGCCAACTTTCCAAGTCCAGCCAACTTTCCAAGTCTGGCTTCCAACCGACCAATGGAGGGAAAGACATGTTGGCTTGTTTGTCCCCCTATACAGTACTTGACTTACAGTATTTAGGTAAATGTAAAGGTTTTCCTCTTACATTAAGTCCAGTCATGTCCGACTCTGAGAGGTGGTGCTCATCTCCATTTCTAAGCTGAAGAGCCAGCGTTGCCCATAGACACCTCCAAGGTCATGTGGCCAGCATCAGTGCATGGGGCACTGTTACCTTCCAATTGAAGTGGTGCCCATTTATCTACTCACATTTGCATGTTTTTGAACTGCTAGGTTGGCAGAAGCTGGGGCTAACAGCAGGAGCTCACCCCGCCCCCCAGATTTGAACCGGCAACCTTTCGGTCAGCAAGTTTAGCAGCTCAGCAGTTTAACCCACTACGCCACAGTATTTACTTATTTTATTTCACATATTTAATTTATATCTCACATTTTTCCAAATATGAGAACCAGGGCAACAGCAATCATCAAGGAAAAGTTTTCTAGCATGGAGCTGAACATAATTACTGAGACTTGGAACTATCACACAAGGCTGGTAAATTGAGATTATAGTAGGGCAATAACCTTTGTAGCTACTACTTATCACATGAGCTCATGTTTCTCCTGTTGCCAATTTGCATTGAAATTATTGGTAGAACACACCTTAAATACTGCTGCTTCAGTGTGTGGTGTAATTGTCTGATAGTGATTGTTTTCAAGCCAGTCTATTGGTATGTTCCCATTTGCTTCAACAAGGCTGGTGTGACAATGACAATACTTTAGGGCAGTGATTATTTTGGACTTCAATACTTTAGGGCAGTGATTATTTTGGACTTCTACTCTCAGAAGCCAGATGCCTTGGCCAATTATTAGGGATTCTGGGAGCTGAAGTCCAAAGCACCTGGAAGACCACAGTTAGGGAAACACTGCTTTAGGGTATGGGTAGAGTTTTGATTAAAATTGGCAAACACATTCCTAAGTGTCAGTGAGAAACAAAATCAACAATATAAGAGACATGTGCATGCATGGTTCCCAACCTGTGGGTCCCCAGGTGTTTTAGCCTACAACTCCCAGAAATCCCAGCTAGTTTACCAGCTGTTAGGATTTCTGGGAGTTGGAGGTCAAAACATCTGGGGACCCACATACTCCAATGGCAGCCGATAGAGCTGAATTTTATATATCACCGGGGGAGCCCCCGGTGGCACAGCGGGTTAAACCACTGAGCTGCTGAACTTGCTGACAGAAAGGTCGGCGGTTCAGTTCCGCAGAGCAGGATGAGCTCCTGCTGTTAGGCCCAGCTTCTACCAACCTAGCAGTTCAAAAACATGGAAATGTGAGTTGATCAATAGGTACCACTTCTGCAGGAAGGTAACGACACTCCATGCAGCCATGCTGGCCGCATGACCTTGGAAGCGTCTACGGACAACACCGGCTCTTTGGATTAGAAACTGAGATAAGCACCAGTCCCCAGAGTTGGACATGACTAGACTTAATGTCAAGGGGAAACCTTTACCTTTTATATCACCCAGCAGAGAGTCAGGATTTTAGATATGCTTACTACTTAGGTGGGGCCAAAAACAGATTGGGGACTACTTCTCTAAACTGACTTACCAGGCATTAGTCCTCTGCTTCTGTGAGACTCAGCAAACGCAGTTATCCGAGGCCAACTGATAGCAATTTCCTCTGCTATGAAAGGGAGAAGCAGAGGTTGCAAGTCAGAAAAGGCTGTCAGAGGCAATCAAGAGCCAACTGGGACATCATCTTTAAGGGTTTACTTTGCAGGAAGAAAGGTATGTGCAGTGGAAGGGCACCTTTGCTGCCTGCCTGAAGGTGCCAAGTTCAAGCTCTGGCATCTCCAGTTCCCATCACATAGCTGGTTGTCCTGACACGACAAATAAATAAATATCACATAGCTGGTGATGGAAAAGAACCCAAATGTAGAAAAGTTTTGCCCAAGAGTTCAGAAAAATTTCACATTTAGAATCAAATCCCCCAAATTCCCTATATAGCACTGGTCTAAGTGAACAAGTCTATGCCTGCCCCAAACGATATCCAATTGTTAGTGCCAACAACAACAGACCATTGAATCAGTGAAACGTATTCACTGAATTACACTATGTAACAAAATTTGGGGGGAAAATCTGTTCCTGGTTTGAATTGTGTGAATTGTGTTCCTGTTTAATTGTGTGATACTTACTTTGAAAGTAGTTGTTATTCTCCAGAAACTTTGTTTTTATGATTGCCATTTTTTACCTTTTGCGCAGATCGCAAAAATGAAGTTATTGAAGTTTAATTTAAAAGTTATTTAAAGTTTTTTGAGACCTCTCAGGGAGATAGGAGACTCAATAAACAAATAAGTACAAATAGATTATTATTATTATTATTATTGTTATTATTATTGACACAAAAGCAGAGTATGTCACAGCAAATGAGATTTCGTATCACAAAATCACAAGTCGAACACTTCCCAAGCCTCTAGGTCTGTGTGATGTATTTTCGAATGAAAATTATTATTATTATTATTATTATTATTATTATTAGAATCACCACAAGATGAGTCCACAGAAGACATTCTGCTGGCTGTTGTATTGGATCACATGTCGGACATTATTATTATTATTATTACTATTATTATTATTATTATTAGCTTTTGCCATGTTTTTATGATAGAGCCAAATAAAAAATGACATTTATAACCCAGGAACAAAAATTGTGTTTTATAGTGCTATCAAGTTCTCCTTGATTGCACGCTAAGGGATCCTGAGTTTGGAGAAGCACCAGCACTATTTGGCAGAGAAGATAAAGATTTTGTAAAACTGTAACTCCCATTGAGCCATACCAGTTAGAATGGTGTGAAACTGCATTAAAACTACATTGAAGATGCACCCTTAAGAGTGGTTTTCAGGATTCACATCATCATCATTAGGGGTTCAAGGATTGGGACACTATGCTCAAGTATGACAAGGATAAGATTCCAAAAATCTTGCTATTTGCCTAAAAGTGCACAAAATTTACCACTTACCCAGTGAAATCACATTCTCATAGTTTTCCTGCATGGTGTCAGTCACTGGGTGTTGCTGTGGAGGTGGACTACCTCTGAAATAACAATCATCCTCCAATCTGAGCCACGGGGCAGGGATCAGTGGGATTCATCTAAAGCAGTGTTCCCCAGCATGGCACCCAGGGTCGGTGCCATGCTGCACACCCCAAATATGCCTTCAAGTCTGGAAGCTTCCTTGCTATTCTCTCCACCTTCAAAATAAAAGAAAATGTTGTAAAATCCAAGCTGATCTAAGTGTTAGACATGAAAACTCTAACATGCTGACCACTGGTTATGAACTACAACATAGCATTGAGCCACAGCAGCACACTCTATAGGCACCTCTGCRAGCAACGGAAAACATGGCTATCAAAGGACTTTTAATTAGGTTGTTGTAGGTTTTTCGGGCTATATGGYCATGTTTTAGAAGCATTCTCTCCTGACGTTTCGCCTGCATCTATGGTAAGCATCCTCAGAGGTTGTCTCACAAATTCCTTGATAGTACCCCATCCAAGGTCTGATCGTATGCCTACAGAGAGGAAGGATGGATGGGAGAGTGGGAGGGAGGAAAGAAGGAAAAAAGATAGAGGAAGGAAAGGAGGGAGGAAAAAGAGAAAGATGAAAGCAAGAGAAGAGAAAGGAAGGATGGAAAGAAAGAAAGAAAGAAAGAAGGAAGGAAGGAAAGAAAGAAGGGGAAAGGCAAGATAGAAGCAGAAGGGAAGGACAGAAGAAGGAAAAAAGAAAGAGATGGGGGGAAATGAGAAAGAAATAAAAGGGGGGAAGGGGAAGGAAGGAAGGAAGGGAAAGGGAGATAAAAGGAAGGGGAGAGATAGAAGGGAAGGATGGAAAAAGAAAAGAAAGAGAAAGGAAGCGAAGGAAGGAAGAGAGGAAGAAAGTGAGAAGGAAGGAAAGGAAGGAAGGRAGGGAGGGAGGGAGGGAGGGAGGGAGAGGAAGGAAGGAAGGAAGGAAGGAAGGAAGGAGGGAGGGAGGGAGGGAGGGAGGGAGGGAAGGAAGGAAGGAGGGAGGACTTGGCTTCCAACTCCCCAAATGATGGTAGTATCTTTCACCTTAAGGAACCTCTCCTCTAGTATTAACATTCTTGTCTTGTTATTTATCCTTCAAACTAGACCACATGAGCTGACTTCTACTGATAATCACCATCAACTATTCTTCAAACACTGTGACTGATGACCCACCCCAATAGTCCCTTAAATGTGCAAAGGCCATTTGCCAATCTTGCTTCCATTTCTCTGTGGCGCTGTCCTGAATCAGAAGGGTCCCTTTGCCCCTGCCCCCTGGACCTACAGATCCTGACTCAAGGCAGAACACGAGGAGAGCCCAACTTACCAGAGGGACAAGAAGACAGACGTCTTAGGAAAAGACCTGGGCAGCAAGTTGATGGAGGCGAGGTCTCACTTCTGGCTGCCTATCCCCAGGAGCAGCATACCTCCAAAGAAGGGATTTCGGGGGAAGCACCACAGGGGAAGGCTCATTGCCTACTTGCCCTGCTTGGAGGCTTCCCCAAAGCAGAAGCAGGGGAACGGGCTCCATTGGAACCCAATAGGATTCGGGCTCACTTGACTAAGAGGAGCAGTGGGTGCAACTTGACTGAGCCTTCCTTTCCACATCCCTGGAAAGAGCCCACTTTCCCAGGTTGATGGCTAGAGGAACCGGGTTTGCTCTCCCCTCCTGGGGTTTGCATGGGTTGGTGCTGCTCTGCCCCCTGAACAGGGAGGGGGGTGCCTTTGGACCACTGGGCATGTATTGGAAGCTGCAGCAACAGCCGCCTTCTTCTGACCCAGGAAGCCCAACCCCGGATATCACCGGCAGAAAGGAGCGAAAAGAAGCCGCAGACCCCTCGAAAGTGGAGGGAAAAGCAGCAGCCATTGCCCTCTGCTGGCTCCACAAGAATTCCCATGTTTGCCTAGGTCTGGTGTATGTATACCTGTGGAATGTCCAGGGTGGGAGGACACAACCTCTGAAGTTGCCTGCCAAAGATTCAGGCAAAACATCAAGAGAGAATGCTTCTGGAACATGGTCAGACAGTCCGGAAAACACACAACAACCCTGTAGCACTTGATTATTTGCTGTCTGATCACCAGTATTTTTAAATAATAATAATAATAATAATAATAAAAACATCACAATCAAGACACAACTAAGGAACACCACTAAGAAACAGGAAAACTCCAGGCAGCAAACAATCCAGTGCCAAAGAAACAATCTACCAAAAGAGTGCTGGTGCCTCGCCATACTACAACTTCTAGGATCCCAAAGCATTGAGCCATGGCGATTCAAGTGGTGTCAAACTGCATCCATTCTACATGGAACATGTTGTGGCCTCACAACTCCAAGTGTTCTTGGAGGAAACTGATTATCTGGATCTGGCACAGTCTGGCTAAAGGTCAGGGCATGGAATTGAAACAGCCTTGGTCACCTTAGTGCAGTGTTGCTCAACCTGAGGGTCAGGACCCTGAAGGGGGGGTTGCGAGGTGCCACCAGAGAGGGGTTACCAAAGACCATCAGAAAACACAGTATTTTCTGTTGGCCATGGGGATTCTGTGTGGGAAGTTTGGCCCAATTTTATCAGTGGGGTTCATAATCCTCTTTGATTGTAGGTGAACTATAAAGCCCAGCAACTACAATTCCCAAATGTCAAGGTCTGTTTTCCCAAAATTCCACCAGTGTTCACATTTGGACATATTGAGTATCCGTGCCAAGTTTGGCCCAGATCCATCATTGTTTGAGTCCACAGTGCTCTCTGGTTGTAGGTGAAGGTCAACACCCACCAAACCCTTCCAGTATTTTCTCTTGGTCATGGGAGTTCTGTGTGCCAAATTTGGTTTAATTCCATTGTTGGTGGAGTTCGGATTGCTCCGGTCCTTCCTGGAGGGTCGCTCTCAGAAGGTGTTGCTGGGGGACACCCCCACAATCTTTGTCTTGTGGGGTCCTGCAGGATCAATATTGCCCCCCCCCCCAGGTTGTTTAACATCTACATGAAGCCACTGGGAGATATCATCCAGAGTTTCGGAGTACGATGTTACCTGTACGCAGATAATGTTCAATCTGTCACTCCTTCCCACCTGTTACTAAGGAGGCTGTTCAGACCTTGAATGGGTCCTTTTTTCGAATGAAGCACAGAGTGTTTGAGTACCAGGACATCTGTAGGGATACCAAGGTACTTGTTTACAAAACTATTGTCCTCCCAGCCTTGCTATATGTTTGCAAGGCGTGGACTATCTACAGACGTCACATGCAACTCCTAGAACGGTTCCATCAATGCTGCCTCCAGAAAATCCTGCAAATCTCTTGGGAGACAGGTGGACAAATGTCAGCATGCTGGAAGAAGCAAAGACCACCACCATTGAAGCCATGGTCCTCCACCATCAACTCTGCTGGACCAGCCACATTGTCCGAATGCCCAATCACCATCTCCCAAAGCAGTTGCTCTACTCCGAACTCAAGAATGGAAAAGGGAATGTTAGAGGACAGGAAAAGAGATTTAAAGATGGGCTCAAAACCAACCTTAAAAACTGTGGCATAGACACCGAGAACTGGGAAGCCCTGGCCCTTGAGCGCTCCAGCTGGAGATCAGCTGTGACCAGCAGTGCTGTAAAATTTGAAGAGGCACAAATTGAGGGTGAAAGAGTGAAACATGCCAAGAGGAAGGCGCATCAAGTCAACACCAACTGGGACCACCTCCCACCTGGAAACTGATGCCCTCATTGCGGGAGAACATGCAGGTCAAGAACAGGGCTCCACAGTCACCTACGGACCCACCACCAGTACACCGACCTTGGGGGACAATCTTACTCGGACAACGAGGGATCGCCTAAGTAAACAACTGTACCCTTGGTTTGCTTCTGATACAATAATCATGGAGGTTGTAGTTTGATGAGCACCAGCACTCTTGGAAAGAGAAGCCCTCATTCTGCCATGTATCAGTATCAATAAATAAAATAACCCATTGCTACGGGGAGAAACTGAAAGGAGAGGTGGAGGAAAGCACTCAACACAGAACAAGATTTACTGGTTTTATTGTATTTTTTATTTTCCCCTAGTCTATTTAATTCACAAACACATATAAGTTCCTGCTAACTTTCAGCATGGCTGGATCGGAAAGGCAAGTAATCTTTCAGGACCATCTACCACCAATTTTTTGTTGACCCACCGCTTTTTAGTTTGCTTATTGTTTTCACAGCAGCTGCAACTGATGTGCTGTTCCTACATGGGAGGATATAACTTCCTCAAGGTGAGCCAGTCTAACATCTAACACAATTTGAGGTGCTGTTCTGTCTCCATCCTGAAGATGCTCAGTGTTTGTCTAGCTCAGGTATGGGCAAACTTGAGCCTTCCAGGTGTTTTGGACTTCAACTTCCACAATTCCTAACAGTCTCAGGCCCCTTCACTTAAGTGGCTGCAGGGGGGAAAGGAAAGGGCCTGAGGCTGTTAGGAATTGTGGGAGTTGAAGTCCAAAACATCTGGAGGGCCCAAGTTTGCCCAGGCCTGGTCTAGCTGGACTCCTGGGAGAAGATGTAAACCCAGGGTGCACCTGCACGGTATAATTAATGTGGGTTCACACCACTTTACATGGAATGCTATAGAATCCTGGGATTTGTAGTTTGGTGAGGCACAACACTCTTTGGAGGAGAAGGTTTATATTTGGAGTGTTTTGAGTTCCCTGGGTCAATTTGCCTGGTTCCTTTTCTTCAAGAAACATTGGGAAGAACCTCCTTACGGTAAGAGCTTTTCAGCAACAGAATATGCTGCCTGAGAGTGTAGAGGAGTCTCCTTCTCTGGAGGTTTTCAAACAGAGGCTGGATGGCCATCTGTTGGAAGTGCTTTGATTGTGTGCCGCTACCTGGACTGGATGGCCCTTGGGGTCTTGTCCAACTATATGATTCTATGAAGATGCCCAAACTGTATTTCTGACATTTCAAGCTACTGCAATACTAAACATTTGGAGTGAAGGAAAGCTTCATGGCAGGGACAGAAATCTTACTTAGGCACAATGCTCTAATTTTTTCCATCTCTACACTGCTGCAGATGTGTTAGGTTTAGGTTAAGGCGGGATTGCTCCTCAAAAACAAAGAGGTGAGTATTCTCCAGCTGTTCATTTCAATACAATCTACAGTGATTTGCAAATAATACAGAAAGCTGATGGCATTGTATTAACTGTTTAAAGAAAGTTCCAAAAATATTGGAGCACTATCTGAAGATGGGTTGCTGTGAGTTTTCTGGGCAGTATGACCATCTTCAAGAAGCATTCTCTCCTGATGTTTCGCCCACATCTATGGCAGGCATCCTCAGAGGTTGTGAGGTTCGTTGGAAACTAGACAAGTGGGTTTATATATCTGTGGAATGGCCAGGGAGGGGAAAGCACTCTTTCCTGTTTGAGGAAAGTGTGAATGTTGGCCACCTTGATTAGCATTGGATAACCTTGCAGCTTCAACGCCTGGTTGAGGGAATCCTTTGTTGGGAGTTTGTTAGAGTGGTCCAGCATTTCTGTGTTCTCAGATAATATGCTGTGTCCAGGTTGGTTCCTCAAGTGCTCTGCTATGGCTGACTTCTCTGGTTGAACCACCATGTCAGACTACACAGAAAAGCCATTGAAATCCACAAGCATGTGGACATTTTCAACAGAAAGGAGGAAACCACGAAAATGAACAAAATCTGGCTGCTAGTATTAAAAAACCAGGACAGTAAATAAAGAGAAACACTCAAAGACCAGGGGAATTCCAAACAATCAGGGCCAGCTAATATCTCCCAACAAAGGATTCCCCCCAGAAAGGAAGTAGCCAGGCTTTGAAGCTGCAAGGCCATTAAATGCTAATCAAGTTGCAACATTCACACTTGCCTCAAGCAGAAAAGGAGTTCTTTTTTCCACCCTGGACATTTTACAGATATATAAGAAGAAGTTTATTTTTTTACCTTGCCTTCGTCTCCCCAAAGGGACTGGGGGCGGCTTACATGGGGCCAAGTCCAGGCAAAATACCCAAGCCCAGGCAAAATATAAACCCCATTTGTCTAGTTTCCAACAGTCCTCACAACTTCTGAGGATGCCTGCCATAGATGTGGGTGAAACATCAGGAGAGAATGCTTCTGGAACATGGCCATACGGCCCAGAAAACTCACAGCAACCCAGTGATTCCAGTCATGAAAGCCTTCGACAACAGTATCTGAAGAGTTAGAACTGCGAATGATGGAATCCATGGATGTGGAACTGACTGTATTTAAAACTAGGTTTAGGCTTCCTTATCTTGGTACCAGAATACTCAAGCACTGCCCAATCAATCACAACAAGCTTTCAAAAGATATAGGACTTTGGTTCTTTACCCTGGAATACCATATATTCTTGATAATTAGCTGTTATTCTGGGTGATGTGGGCAGTTTGGTGCACACTTGTAGTAGTAACCATACCACAAAATAGGTGGGAAGAGAAGCATGAAGTGCTACAGAAAGAAAACAGGAGTGGTGCACATATTCTCTAAATCAGAATGATGTGAAATGTGTGCAAGGGTGCAGTGAAGGCAGGTCTCGGAGAATCAGAGCACCGAGGCTTTCTAAAGCATAAGGAAGGCCTCATTTAAACTAATCCCTTAATGCAGTTTCAAAACAGTATTGGAAAAAATGGTTTCACTGTTGTAGATAATGACATAGCAAATCCTGGAACCAGTTTGAGACCCGGAGGGTGATTACACAAAGCATCGAGCACATAAAGAGCTTTCTTTCACAAGGTTTTGTGGGCATTTGTTGTTTGGATGTCACAATTTGATGCTAGTTTCAAACTGCATTAGATGGTCAGTGTAGATGGAGCTGAAGATGAAATCATTTGGCAGTCAGCTCCAGTCTCCTTGTTCCCTGTAAGTTGAACACCAGTCATCACAACAGTGGGATTGGTATGGGGAGAGCACAACAACAATACATTGGTGTGAGCTATTCTTGTTGTAGTACAAAATACTTGCGAGTGACTTGGTCTTGAAGAGACAGCTAAAACCTATCAGCTTTATGAAAGACCTGCTACAGAGTTTTGGCGACATGGATCAACAGAGCTGCCTGCATTTTGGGTTTTCTTTGAAGATGTGGCTTCTATGAAGATCATACGCACTTCCCTATTTGTCACTACACCTCTGTTTGGGCAAGTGCACCAATTTAAGGCTCTCTTACGAAAGCAACATTTTTGTAAACACATAATGACCAGAGTGGTTTTGCAGACAGATTTTCCTGCCTTCTTCCAGTTATTTCCCCCCATCTCTTCACCATTACAGTCGCCAGATGCCAGGCGTTGAGACATAGTATAATAATGTGCTGTGAGTTTTCTGGGTTATATGGCCATGCTCCAGAGGCATTCTCTCCTGATGTTTCGACCACATCTATGGCAGGCATCCTCAGAGGTTATGAGACCTCACAACCTCTATGGATGCCTGCCATAGATGTGGGCGAAACATCAGGAGATAAAGCTTCTGGAACATGGCCATACAGCCTGGAAAACTCACAATAACCCAATAATTCCGGCCAGGAAAGCCTTCGACAACACATGGTCTAATAGTTAAGAAGTGCTTTTCATGAGTGGGATTCCCTTTAGAAAAGGATAGGGAAAGAAACTGCTTTTGTTGTTCTGGTGCGATTGCACACAGGGGATGTGAGAAGTGATCCCAAGCCTTGAACTACAGGAGCTGTCCAGCTCCACATATCTGGTCCCTTCCTACTAAGCCATTCTGTCCTACTCCACTATCTACTCTACCCACTTAAATCTATTACCTTCCCCATGGCCAAATCCAAAGTCCATTTCAAAGCAGTGAGTGATTCATATTACATGAAAGCAAAGCTCCTTCAACTAGGCTGGCTCCAGTTAATTATAATATTTGCCCATAAGTATATTGAATAAGCCAAAGAATACTCGTACATCATTACAAGAATTAGTTATGGAAATTAAGCTTCTTTAAGGGCAAGTCTAGACAGTACGTTTATCCCAGGAGCTTCCACAGCAACAGGAGGGTGGCCAGACCCTGTCCCCTGTAGCTGTGGAAGCAATCACTACAAAAGGCAAAAAATGTGAAATTTCAAGGTGCAGGCATATTGTGATTTTGAGCTGAATATGTGGATCTTCACATGTCTGTATATCTGCAATCGAAAATCGTGGGATTTTTAATCTGAGTTTGTTCGTGTGTTTGTTTGTTCCTGATTGGTCAGTTCCTAAAAAGAAGGTGACACTTAAGTAGAAAGCAAAAACTTTGTGTGCCAGAAATTTCATGAAACGTGTGGAGGGCACATTTTCTTTGGCCAGGACAAAGTTGTGGGCCCCTAGTCAACGTTGTACATCCTTTCACAAGAAGAGCAATCAGGAACAGCCATGTATAACCCAGGAACATCACCCAGTTGTTTGATGCCACAAGTTTCTGATAGAAATCCCACAGCAGCCATCTTGGGAGCCTCTAAATCTCATAACAAAGCATCAAATCTGGACAACGGAGGCAGAAATCCTGGGACCAACAGGTCTATATGTGGACCTCTTCTGAAGTCCCGGGGTTTTTTGCCCCTGCTTAAAACCCGTGATTTAGTGCTGCCTGGAAGCACCCTAAGTGACCTTTTAAAGCACAAAATCTGGGTCTTCGAGGCCTTTTTTCCCTTCCTTTTCTCAGCTACCTAGCAGTTTCCTCAGACACACACACATAACCCTGTTCTGCAGCCCTCTGCTCTGTTACAAGAACCCCTAGACAAGGCAGAGTAGAAGCCATGGAGACAAGGCCCCTTGAAATACTCCACAGCCAACCTGCATTCCAACAAAGTAGAGAAAAAGATGTGCAAGGCCAGGTTGATGCAGTTGTGAGAAAGCTGTTGTGTTTGACAGAATGTTGTTTCCATCCAAAAGTGCCTAATGAATAAGTTAAGGCTTAACTTGAGATTTCATCTGTCATTAGATTACCCCGAATGTATATCCTTGGCACCTTAGTGACTGAAATGGAATATTGGGCAAAATAACTTGTTTACACAAAAGAATAGCCCACTGTGGACTTTGGATTGGGCCATTATACACCTGGGGAATTTTTGTCAGGACCACTGACTACTTGCCAACCAAATACAGAGTGTCCCTTCCCGCCCCAATTCCTTCCTCTCCCTTTAGCATGGTTCAATTTCCTTACACTGCGGGGAAGCTGGTATTAGGATAGTGTCCCCTGCCCGGTGGGTACGGAGATGCTGGTAAAGGCGGGATGTGCCACGGAAGTGGCATCCACACTGTGGGCAGGGATACAGCCTCTCACCCTCATGAACACACTGGTGTTTGAGCAGAGACGAAGCATCAGCAAAGAGCATGCCACAGTCCCCACAAGTGCTGGTAGAAGGTGAGTCATTGTCTGGGTCAAGATGGTGGGCGTGCTGATGCCGCTGGAAGTGCAAGGTGCTGTTGAAGCTCTTGCCACAGTCTGGGCAGACGTGTGGTTGGCCGCCTGCATGGGTGCGCTGATGCCGGTAAAGGTGGGAGGTGCGCCCAAAGCACTTCCCACAGTCCCCACAGGAGTAAGGCCTTTCACCTGTGTGGATGCGCCGATGTCGCTCCCAATGGGAGCTCCAAGTGAAGCTGAGCCCACACTCCCCACAGTGGTAGGGCTTATCGGCAGACATGTGGAGCTGGCGGTGTTGAGCCAGCTGGCCCCGTGAGCTGAAGCTCTGCCCACACTCCCCGCAGCCATAGGGCTTGTCGGCCGTGCCATGGAGACGCCGGTGGCGGGCCAGTTGGGACTGACCCCCAAAGCTTTGCCCACATTCAGAACATTGGTGACTCTGATCGCCTCCAATCAAATGTAAACGCTGGTGTTTCACCAAAGCCAAACCGTCAGCAAAAGCTTTCCCACAGAGGGTGCACTTGTACGGTTTGCGACCCCGGTGAGTGCGCTGATGCTGATCAAAATGCAGAGTGGTGCTGAAGCTGCGTCCACAGTAGGTGCAGATGTAGGCACGGGTGACATTGGCTGCAGCGCTGGTCCCATGAGTGCGCTGGTGACGGTAAAGGTGGGAGCTGCGGCTAAAGCTCTTGCCGCACTCGTTGCATGGGTAGGGCTTCTCGCCAGTGTGGATCCGCAAGTGTCGGGCAAAGTGCGAACTCCACGAGAAGCTCTTGCCACAGTCACCACACTGGAAGGGAAGGCGTCCAGTGTGAAGCCGCTGGTGGGTCACCAGTTCTGTGTTGCGGCGGAAACATTGGCCACATTCGGCACACTGGTAGGGCAATCCACGGCTGGGCAAGAGTGATGGAGCAGGAGTTACAGGTGTGGCACCAGCATTGGCATGTGCCCGCTGGTGCCTGTAAAGGTTGGAGCTAACATTAAAGCTCTTGCCGCACTCTCCGCACCGGAAGGGCCGTTCCCCAGTGTGTGTGCGCCGATGCTTGCTGTAGTGTGAGCTGCAGCTGAACACCTTCCCACAATCCTCACACTCATATCCCTTCTGCAGAACCATGATCGGTGGCCCATCTCCTGTCAGGACCTTGCCACCACCGACCTGCTGCACTACCCTCCAACGTAGGCTCTTACAATTCCCCGGGACCATGCTGGCATCCAGCTCCACCACCTTAGGACTGTCTTGTTGCTGAACATCTTCCTCATCCGTCTCCTCCTCCTCCTCACTGCCCAATCCCTCACCTGCTGAAAGAGACATAAAGGATGATAAATCTTATGAACCTTTTTATCAAATGGATAACCAATGGGTGATTGGTCACCTACTCTTTGACACTGCTCCACAGGCATCTTGTGTTGTTGATGTTGTGTGCCTTATGTTTTCTTTGCCTTGTGTTGTGTGCCTAAGGTAATCATATCAAAGGTCTCTTGGTGAGATCTATTCAGAGGAGCTTGGCATTACCTTCTCCTGATGCTGGGAGGGTATGACTTACCAGTTTCAAGGCTGAGTGGAGAATTGAACTTTGGTGTCCCAGAACCCTGATTCAACACTCAAAGCAAGACACCACTCAACATCCAGACACAAAAGCATTCAAACACACTCACAGATATACTTGCTAAGAATACTCGATTTGTGGGTATACAACAGAGTTATCAGAAGTGGAATGTCAGCCATTCTCCTTCTCATTTCAGAACTTCCAGAACCTCACACACATATACACTGCATGATGCACAGGGCAAGGCGATTTTGCTAAATGGGAGCAGTTCCAAGGAGCCTACCCATTTAGTGAGGTCTCTGGCTGTCAAGGTAGCATTTTTGAGGGAAACAGAAATGTTACTACTATTATACATGTCTAAATCTAGATCTCATAAATATAGGAGGGAGGTAAAAATGGGATCCAGAACAGAGTTTGGAAAATTTCTGAACTACAAATTCTCAAAATCTCCCCATATTAGATGGGAACTGCTACAGAAAAACCACTGTTAATTATGAACTTTGCAGAAAACACCCTAGGGATGAGGACTTCTTCCCCTTAGGGCAAGACAGAGGACAAATTAAAAGAATGTGGCGGATGTATTGAAGGAAAAGACAAGAATCCACTGTCCATGGGTTATCCTTACATAAATTGCCTCTTCTTTTGTTTTCTTTATTCCCAGGTTCTGGTATACAAGGCTCCTCTTCATCTTCTATCAAGAAAATCTCATTGGGTTGAGAACTTGGAGATCCTGCTAAAGAAGAAAAACAACATTATTAGATTTCACCTTTTCCTGATCCCTTTTTTAGTCAGTTTTTGAAATGTTTTTTTTTAAGATCACATCTCTAAGAATCTTCCCCTAACCAACCTGGACAATGTTGATGGTGGCTAGGGGGATTGTGAAAGTAGTAATCCAAAGAAGTAACTTTTCCAAACTGCGTCTTTGCAGCATGCTTCTGAAATATACCTTCTTCTGATGATATCATACTAGAAGCTACAGAAAGCATAAACCTTTCCTCAACTGATGGAAAATCAATACTGTTGCTCAGAAGACATGGCCAATGTAATGGGTTGGGAGATATACCTCTGGCAAATTAGCTGCAACATCTACTACTAATAATAAGACTTTATTTGTATTCTGCCCTATCTCCCCTAGGAGACTCAGGGCAGATACTAGTGCAATACCTGAAAACCCACTTTTTCAGAATAACAGCCCTCTCCATTATTGACCTTGAGCCATGAGGAGAGGCAATTAAGAAATAATAATAATAATAATAATAATAATAATTATTATTATTATTATTTTACTGACACAAAAACACAGTATGTCACAGCAAATGAGATCTATATGCTGGATGTCATATCACAAAATTACAAGTCGAACACTTCCCAAGCGTCTAGGACTGTTTGATGTATTTTCAAATGATGCGTGCAGATCCAAGTAAGGTGGCCTTTTGCAGTTGACAGATCATGATTTTGTCAATGTTTATTGTTTCCAAATGCCAGCTGAGATCTTTTGGTATGGCACCCAGTGTGCCGATGACCACTGGGACCACCTGTACTGGTTTATGCCAGAGCCTTTGCAGTTCGATTTTGAGGTCCTGACAATGGTTGAGTTTTACCTGTTGTTTTTCCTCATTGCGAATGTCACCTGGTATGGCGACATTACTTTTTTCTTTTCCACAATCATGATGTCTGGTGTATTGTGTTAATATTTTTGTTGTTGTTGTTGTTGTTCAATACACAACAAGATTAGTACACAGCAAACAAGATCACTATGCTGGCTTTTGTATTCTATTACACATCGGACACTTCCTAAGTATCTAGGACTGTGTAATGTATAATAGAATCATAGAGTTGGAAGAGACCTCATGGGCCATCCAGTCCAACCCACTGCCAAAAAGCAGGAATATTGCATTCAAAGCACCCCTGACAGATGGCCATCTAGCCTCTGTTTAAAAACCTTCAAAGAAGGAGCCTCCACCGCACTCTGGGGCAGAGAGTTCCACTGCTGAACGGCTCTCACAGTATCAGCAAATAATGTGTGCAGATCTGACAGATGGTAATTTTGTCAGCGGCAATTGTTTTTAAGTGCAGGTCAAGGTCTTTAGGCACTGTAACCAGTGTGCTGATTACCACTGGAACCGCCTTTACTGGCTTGTGCCAGAGTCTTGGCAGTTGTTGCTGTTGTTGTAAGCGACATTTAAATAAATAGGAAAGCAAGCAAACAAACTCTGTACTCTGTATAACTTCACTTGTCCTTATCCCCAGCTGATTCTGTTCCATATAAACCACCTGTTCTGTTCATGGAGACAGAATAAAAGAGACAGTAATTATGCTAATATGGTTTTGATATCAATGAATTTGATAGCAAGGTGTATCCACCAGTAGATTCCAGAGGACAAGAGAAGGTCAACCCACTTTGAGAAGTTGACCACTTGTGTCCCAACAGAGCAAACATAATTCCTAGGCAAGCAATGCAATCTCCTTTTAATGTGGGAGGTTGTTATGGGGTGGAGTGAGCTTGGACTACTTACTCAGTGCCACTAGACTTTCACAGTTTTCCTGGCGTGCTTCCTTATAAACAGGTTTCTGATCAGCATCTACAATCAGCCATTCATCCTCCATGATCTGCCCTTAGGTCCCTGGCTCCTGAAAGAAGAGTGTTTACTAACATCACAAACATGTACGTACTTACTCCCTTTGCATCATCCTACTCTTACAGTAAGCAGCATAACAGAAACATGCTGTCAGGAAAGAATCAATCTAATTGCCAATTTAAGAAGTCTTACCAAACTAATTTGTTTTTCAGTTTGTAAGTTATTATGTTATATTGGGCAATTGGCCAAGAGTTTGGCCTTGAGGTACGTGTGGGTAGGATGCTACATAATTATCTGTGAAATATATGCATCTCTGGAGTCAAAACATCATATCAGGCCCTTGAATCTAAACTATAAATCCTCATCACCCCACTCATAATCACCAATGGAAAATTATATGTCTCAATTTACCAAAACATACACTGAATGTACAGCCCACGGTCCCTCTTTCCTAGCCGTCCTAAATGCAACTCTGGAAGAGAAACCAAATACTTTTAATGCCCCTATTCCATGGTGATGGCCTAGATGCCACAATTTTTGAAGCCAAAGCATACATAGAAGCCCATACTTAATGAATGTTGTATATTGGGGCAGTTGTAGCTGCTGGGATTTATAGTTCACCTACAATCAAAGAGTATTCTGAACTCCACCAACGATGGAATTGAACCAAACTTGGCACACAGAACTCCCATGACCAACCGAAAATACTGGAAGGGTTTGGTGGGCATTGACCTTGAGTTTTGGAGTTGTAGTTCACCCTATATCCAGAGAGCACTGTGGACTCAAACAATGATGGATCCGGACCAAATTTGGCATGAATACTCAATATATCTAAATGTAATCAGCAGAATTTCTCAGTCAGGCTCCCTCCCGCAATCCCGTGCCTGGCCATTTTGGGTGGAGTTTGGGGGAAATAAACCATGACATTTGGGAGTTGTAGTTGCTGGGATTTATAGTTCATCTATAATCACAGGATGAGGAGGACTTTTGATGGGAGGATTTGCCATCTGTTTCCAAAAAGGAAGGCAAGGACAGGCAGAGAATTCTTCAGCCTTCTCTGCCAAAGAGGTTTCTAAGACCACCAGAAATATATGTTTTCTGATGGTCTTTGGTGACCCCTCTGAAACCTCCCTCGCGACCCTCCCCCAGGCGTCCCGATCCCCAGGTTGAGAAACCCTGCTTCAGATTTAGTGTTGCCCTAAGTCAGGAATGACCAGAAGGCACACAACAACAACAATCCCAATTAACTTGACTATCTCAGCAGCCAAAAGCAAAAGCTCACATTTCCCACTAAATTACTAGTACGTTTATGTTGATTAAAATTGTTCTTCGTTTCAGTATGGAAGAGCTGTCTTTGTAAAACTAGGCCTCCAAATCAGCAGTGTCCATGACACAGAAGAAAACAACATAGAAGTTATAACAGCAGAGCTTGGTAACATCACAATTACCTGTATGTAAAAGCCCCCAAATGAAGAGTTTTGTTTCTCCTCTCCTGAGAACTATGATGGACAGACACCAAAGGGTGGTAGTAATTGGTGACCTTAACAGCTGTAGCTCTCAGAAATATCAAAAACTACCTGGGTATTTTTGATTACGAAAGTGTGAGCCAAGCACTGAAAGAGTGAGTAGGCCAAAGCCTGTTAGAGTCAGTGGGCCAAAGCTAGTGTTGTCCTGAGGAGTGTGAGGTAAACCTCTTTGTGAGTGAAGCTTCAGTGAAAGAAGCCCCAGGTTAAAGGCCTTGTGTGTAAAGCTGTGTGTAAAGCTACTATGTGAAGCTCCTGTGTAATTTATGTACTTGAGCATAAGCCTAGTTTTTCAGCCCTTTGTTTAGGCTGAAAAAAGTCCTGCTTGGCTTATACTCGAGTCAAGGTTATTTATTATTTTACTCTGTTATAAATATTATTTTATTCGATCTATTATTTCACATTATTATTATTATTATTATTATTATTATTATTATTACATTTATCATTTCACATTATTATTATTATTATTATTATTATTATTATTATTATTATTACATTTATTATTTGACTATTATAATTGGCAGGATATGTAAGCACATTTACATTGAAGAAGGTTAGAATAATGGTTTAATCAGAGTTGGACAGTCTTATCTTACATTACAGTTTTACGTAAATATTCAAAAACATTGAACGTACTGTTCTGGAACAGCTGTTCCAGGAGCTCCAATTTTGTGCTTTGCACTGAGTGTTTGTTTATAGTTCTAAGTTTCAGGGACTCTGCAGATAGGTGGTTTATTTGGCTGCATTCATAGGGCAAGCCACCTGTCAATTATCATTGGGTTCCCTGGTTCCACCCCCTTTCTAGGCTTTGGAGGGAAGGGAGCCTTTTCCAGTCAGTCACAGCAAGGTTAGCCAATGTATAGGATGTGTTTACTTCCCCTGTACAAAGGCTTCAACCTTTAAGAGCTCCAGGGAAAGAACGCCAGGGAGCATTCCCACAGCTTTAAGGGTCTCCTAAGAACTCCAGGGATTCCTTCCTACAGCCTTGGGAAGACAGGCTAACTCTAAAGAACATCCATTGCCTGTCTGGTAGGTCCTCTCAGTGTTTCGAGAAGCAGTTCGGCCTGGCAGAGGAGCCCACACCAGTGAGGGTTGGATTTTAGTTAGCCTTGGGAGAAGTTAAAAAGGGGAATTTTCCTTTGAAGAAAGTTATTGAAGATAGTGCCTGTTCCCTGTGGACAAGTTTGAGAGAACTGATACTTTACCAAGAAAGCTTTACAATTCCTGTTTGATTCATTAATAAAAGACTTTGTTGTACCTTTTAAGCCATCTGAAGATTCCTTTTGTAAAGGAAGCCTCTGAGAACTTTTCCTAGGGCCCCTGGCTTCCCGCTGGGTAAAGGTTACACATCCTATATCTAAAGTCAACTAGCTATTGGCCCAGCGGCGACAGAACACGTACGGATGCCTCAATTAATGCAGTTTTATTGGTATCTGTTTTTATTTTGAAATTGATCAGTAGCTGCTGCATTTCCCACCCTCAGCTTATACTCGAGTCAATACGTTTTGCTGTTTTTTTGTGGTAAAATTAGGTGCCTCGGCTTATATTTGGGTCGGCTTATACTCGAGTATATATGGTAATTTCGGTGTGAGGGGAGGCTCTGTAAGACTAGGCTGTTTATTTGCATAAGAAAGAAGCCCAGCATGGAAGCAACAAAGAAAATATAAAGAACTTTATTTGTGTTAAAGTAGCCTTGTTTTTGTAAATAGTATAACCATATTATTTTACTACAGCCCCCGGTGGCACAGTGGGTTAAACCCCTGTGCCGGCAGGACCGAAGCCCAACAGGTCGCAGGTTTGAATCCGGGGAGAGGCGGATGAGCTCCCTCTATCAGCTCCAGCTCCTCATGTGGGGACATGAGAGAAGCCTCCCACAAGGATGATAAAAACATAAAATCATCCGGGCGTCCCCTGGGCAACGTCCTTGCAGACGGCCAATTCTCTCACACCAGAAGCAACTTGCAGTTTCTCAAGTCGCTCCTGACACGACAAAAAAAAAAATACTACAAAGAAAAGCCTCCCATGGAAGATATAACATTGGTCTGTGTGTTTTTGTTATTTTTATCACTTTGGGCTCCTGGTGCTGGGTCACGCTGCTGCTAATACAGTGGTTCTTCAAGTGTTACCTGTGGGTCTTCAAGTGTTTTGGCCCACAACTCCAAGAAATCCCAGCCAATTTACCAGCTGTTAGAATTTCTGGGAGTGGAAGGACAAAACATCTGGGGATCCACAGGTTGAGAACCACTGCGTTAATTAATTATTCTACTGTACGTTTAGGAGGAGGGTCTTTTGTTAATAAGCCCACTTGCCCAACAGTAGCCACGTGTGGGGCTGTGCTCAGGAGGATAAAAATGAGGAGGCTGTCCTTTCCTCGGCTGAACTGCATAAGGTATTGCTTATTCATGATAGTAAGCTCCCACTATCCTACAACACTGGGAGATAGCACTGAGGATATAACCTATACCTCCTATTTGTGCGTAACAGCATTGTGCAGAAATGCACTAAATCAGTGGGACCACCAATACCAAACACACAGCACCAGCCAATAGTATGCCTGTTGTTCCCAACCATAAGGCCTCAGGAAGTTTGATTTAAATGAAGATTCAACTTCAGAAAGGCAGAATGGTCTAAATTCTCAAATATGTTAGATGACAGGGTCATATTGGCCGCTCCAATCCCTGAGGAATACGAGCACTCTGTCAACATTGTAAAAACGTGCTCATGGGCTTCTATACCAAGAGGCTAGTATTACTCCTGATGCAGCTGCCTTGTTGGAAGACTATTACAGGCTCCACAATGAAGATCCATTTAATGAGCAAACTCTTCAGGCAGCACAGAGCATTTTGTCCCTCATCTCTGAAGCCAAGAAAGAACAGTGGATAAAGCTGATAACAGAAGTCTATATGGGCAGGAGTAGTCAGAAGTGTGGAGGCTGTTAAGACGGCTGAGCAATAATCCCGCACAAACTAACACCCATGCCAACATAAAGGAAGATCAGATAGCGCATCAGGTTCTGAAGAATGGGAAACTCAGCCTTGACACCTATCTAAGAAAGAAACCAACAGTCATACAATCAGATAACGAGAACAACAATCTTCACGAACCTTTTACATCTACCAAATTGGAAACAGCTCTCAATAAATGTAAAAATGGCAAAGCAGCAGGCCTGGATGATCTACGGATGGAACAAACTAAGAACTTTGGCTCAAAAGCAAGGTGCTGGCTGGTGAAGCTGATGAACAACTGCATTGCATCCTGTCAGAACCCTAAAATCTGGAGGAAAGCAAGAATCATAGCCATTTTGAAACCCAACAAAGACCACAATGATCCAAAAATCTTCTTGCTGTGTCATTTTTACAAAGTTCTCTCCAGAACTTTGTAAAACATTTGCATACAATTATGGAAAAAATAGACTCATGTATCATTCCACAGCAAGCTGGTTTTAGGAAAGGCAAAAGCTGCACATCACAAGTGTGATGATCCTGATACAGCAGATAGAAGATGGTTATGAAAGGCAGCAGGTTACAAGAGCTGTCTTCATAGTCCTGTCAGCAGCTTATGATACTGTAAATCATTGCCTTCCTCTGAAAAAAAAATTATAATAACACAAAGGACTACCACCTCACCTGCTTCATAGGAAATCTGCTACAAAACATGAGCTTTTTTGTTGAGTTCCAGAGCCAGAAAAGCAGAGCTTGCTTGCTCCATCAATCGTGCTGTCACTTCTCAAGCAGGGAGCTTTGAAATGGTTGATCAGATGCTCTCTGAAGCTTTAGGTACTCTTACTGCCTATTACAGGGAAAACTAGCTGATTCCTAATCCATCTAAAATGCAGATGTGTGCTTTTCATCTTGAGAACAGACTAGCATCTCGAGCTCTAAGAATTACCTGGGAAGGAATCCCAGTCACTCTGGACCATGCTCTGACTTACAAGAAGCACTGCTTGACTATCAAGCAAAAAATAGATGCTAAAAATAATATCGTACGAAGCTCACTGGCACAACCTGGGGATCACAACCAGACACAGTGAAGACATCTGCCCTTGCAGATGCTACTCTGCTGCTGAACACACATGCCCAGTGTGAAATACATCTCACCATATTAAAACAGTGGATATGGCTCTTAATGAGACATGCTACATTATCACAGGATGTATACGCCCTACACCACTGAAGAAATTATACTTCAACTCCCACAATTACTAATAGCCTCAGGACCCTTCCTTTTCCTCCTCAACCACTAAAGCCCAAGTTGGCCCATGCCTGTGCTAAATGATATATGTCCAAAAAGTGTGTCACTGGCATTAATGTTGGGAAAACTCATACAATATAATTGTGTTCCTGCTTCTTTTCAAAGAAATGTTAAAAGCTGGGCCTTGAGGATCAATAGGACCTCACACTGGATCTGAATCCTTAGGAATTTGACCCAAACCTCCATTTTCAGCTGACCTTCCAAGTCCAAACCAAGGCATAAACAAGGCTGAAAACTGGACAAAGCTTGGGAAGGATTGCCCTTGAGGGAAACTTTTGAAATACAACCTCAATTCTCCCTGGGGAGGGGGGGAGGGCTGGTCCATTGTGTATCATGTATTTGTGCCAAATTTGGTCCAGTGAATGAAAAGGCAATCCCGCATATCAGTTATTTACATGACAATTCATAACAGTAGCAAAATTACTGTTATGAAGTAGCAATAAAAATAATGTTACGGTTGGGGATCACAACATGAGGAACTATATTAAGGGGTTATAGTATTAGGAAGGTTGAATAACATTGGTCTATGGGAAACTTTTGAAATATAATCTCAATTCCCCCTGGGGCGCTGGCTGGACCATTGTTCAAGGCAAGTCCATCCATACCTAAATGAAGATTGTGCCTGGATTTTCTCAAGAGAGCAACATTTCAGAATTTCCCCACCCACCCATTATTTTCCCATTGATCTCCCCCATCCCAGTCTCACCACATCCTTGGACAGGTTGAAAGGGTCCAATGAATCCATACCTCTTAGGAGTTCGACAAAGATTGTGCCCGGAGAGCAACGTTTCAGAATTCCCCCACCCACCTATTCTCCTTCCCCATTGGCTTCCCCCATCTCATTCCCACCATTTCCCTGGACAGATTGAAAGGGTCCAATGAATCGATACCTCTCCCTGGATAGATGGAAAGGGTCCAATCCATATTTTTGAAGAGTTCAACAACATTTCAGAATTCACCCACCTACTCATACCTTCCCCACTGATCTCCCCCATCCCAGTCCCACTATTTCCCTGGACAGGTTGAAAGATCCAATGAATCCATACCTCTCCCTAGATAGATGGAAAGAGACCAATCCATACCTTTGAAGAGTTCAACAACATTTCAGAATTCACTCACCTACTCATACATTCCCCACTGATCTCCCCCATCCCAGTCCCACTATTTCCCTGGACAGACTGAAAGATCCAATGAATCCATACCTCTCCCTAGATAGATGGAAAGAGACCAATCCATACCTCTTAGGAGTTTGACAAAGATTGTGCCCAGAGAGCAACATTTCAGAATTAACCCACCTACCCATTCCTTCCCCACTGATATACCCCATCCCAGTCCCACCATTTCCCTGGATACATAGAAAGGGTCCAATGAATCCATACCTCTCCCTGGATAGATGGAAAGAGTCCAATCCATACCTATGAAGAGTTCAACAAAGATTGTGCCCGGAGAGCAACATTTCAGAATTTACCCACCTGCCCATTCCATCCCCACTGATCTCCCCCATCCCAGTCCCACTATTTCCCTGGATAGATGGAAAGGGTCCAATGAATCCATACCTCTTAGGAGTATATCAAAGATTTTGCCTAGAGAGCAACATTTCAGAATTCACCCACCTACCCATTCCTTCCCCACTGATCTCCCCTATCCCAGTCCCACCATTTCCCTGGATAGATAGAAAGGGTCCAATGAATCTATACCTCTCCCTGGATAGATGGAAAGGGTCCAATCCATGCCTCTGAGGAGTTGGACAAAGATTGTGCCTGGAGAGCACCTACCCATTCCTTCCCCATTGACCTCCCCCATCCCTGGTTAGGGTGAAAGGGTAGATGGAAAGGTTGCCTCCTCCAGTCTGGGGCCCATTCAGCCCCATGTAGTTTACCTGGTTCCTCCTGGGCCCCACAAAAGGGGAGCCAGATCTGTCGCGGGAAGCAGAAGGCGCTCCAGGATCCTGAGCGACCCCAAGAATGGGAACAATGAGAAAGTCTCTTGTGTCTGGCTCAGGGTCTCTCTCTCTCTCTCTCTTCCCTTCCCGTGCAATGCAAAGGGGGGCACCTTTGGGAGTGGGATGGAGAGGGGAGGCGAAAGAGGAAGAAAGGAAGGTAGGCCAGGAGGGGGGTCCGACCCACCTGGGGGTCACCAACCCTCCTCCCCCTCCGGCTGGCTTTTCTTTGGGATCCTCCTCCTTCTGCTGCTGCTGCTCCCCGCCTTCCTGCCTCCCCCTCCTCCCTGCCTCCCTGCCTCCCTCCCACCCCCAGCCCAGCCTTGCTCCAGCCCCTTCCTGTGTGTCCTCGCAATTCCAAACCGATCTGCAACCCAGGGAGAGCGGGAGAGCCTCAATCAAAGCCCTCGCCTCTTCTACGCCTTGACGCACCCAAGCCCAGCCGGGATGGCCAGATGCGGCTGCGAGCGGGCATGGCATCCCTTGGGAGAGGCAACACAGACCAAGGGGCTGGGCATGGGAAGAAGGGAAGGATCCCCATCCTAGGCTCTCCCCACCGAGCGAGCCTCTCCACGGAACAATAAAAGGGATCCATCTCCCTGCTGGGTAAGGAAAGAGGCAAACCGGTCTACTGTGGAGATGATGATGGAGGGAGGAGGGATGCTCCCAAAGATGTCTTAGGAAAGGATGCGGGAGGAAAGGAAACAAGATCCAGATGCCAGTCCTATAGCTGTCAACCTCCTGTTGCCATTTCTTCTTTCACACCCCAAAGGGAGAGAGCCAGGGCAGCTTTTGTCCTCAAAATTAAATCCCACCCAAGGCAGGGATGCCACACAGGGAGCCTCTCTTGTGCAGTGCCTTCCTTGAAGGGAGCAGCAGGGCATCCAGAGGGCCTCTTTCAGGGTCCAACTCCAGACACCCCAAAACAGTCCGTAAAGCAGGATTAGGAAATTCAATCCCACATATAAAGGTAAAGGTTTTCCCCTGACATTAAGTCTACTCATGTCTGACTCTGGGGGTTGGTGCTCATCTCCATTTCTAAGCCAACGAGCCAGCATTGTCCGTAGACACCTCCAAGGTCATGTGGCCAGCATGACTGCATGGAGTGCTGTTACCTTCCCGCAGAAGTGGTACCTATTGATCTACTGTATAAATATAAATATTGTATAAATATGTGAGAGGAAGCCACAAGGAGGAGGGAGCAACCTTGTTTTCTGCTTCCTTGGAGACTAGGATGCAGACCAATGGCTTCAAACTACAAGAGAGGAGATTCCATCTGAACATTAGGAAGAACTTCCTGACTGTGAGAGCTGTTCAGCAGTGGAACTCTCTGCCCGAGGTGGTGGAGGCTCCTTCTTTGGAAGCTTTTAAACAGAGGCCGGATGGCCATCTGTCAGGGGTGATTTGAATGCAATATTCCTGCTTCTTGGCAGGGGGTTGGACTGGATGGCCCATGAGGTCTCTTCCAACTCTTTGATTCTATAATTCTATGATTCTACTCACATTTACATGTTTTCGAACTGGTAGGTTGGCAAAAGTTGGGGCTAACAGCAAGAGCTCACCCTGCTCCCTGGATTCAAACCACTAACCTTTGAGTCAGCAAGTTCAGCAGCTCAGTGGTTTGACCCACTGCACCATCGGGGGGCTCCCTCAGTGATATATAATTGTTATTATTCAAAATTGTATACAGAAGACTTTTTTATTAGCAATTCAATGGCATGTTTGGCATTCTTTTGTTGTAGAGACACAGGCAGTGAATCTAGGTCCAACACTTCAGATCATGCGTTTCCAGACATTGTAGTCATTTGTTGGTCGATAAAGATGCGTCAACATATGTTCTTTCTATGCTCATTATCGATTCAAAAGGTTATTTCCCCTAAAAAGTAATGCCAACCTTTCAGTCAGCAAGTTCAGCAGCTCAGCAGTTTAACCCGCTGCGCCACTAGGGGGCCCTAAGTCCCATAAACAGCCTGCAAAATAGGCATGGGTCAACTTGAGTCCTCAAGGTGTTTTGGACTTCAACTCCCACCATTCCTAACAGCCTCTCACATAAGCAGCTGAGGGGAAAAAGGAAAGGGCCCGAGGCTGTTAGGAATGGTGGGGGTTGAAGTCCAAAACACCTGGAGAGGCCAAGCTTGCCCGTGCCTGCTATAGCCTATTTTAGTATCGAAGCACATCATATCTCAGGCTTAGAAGTACCATTAATCCCCTGAAGTATGTTCAGGAAAGCCATTTGTCCAGCCTCCCCAGACCAGGGGCCCTCCAAACAGCTAGCAAAAGTGGCTTCCACATCTTTGAGGTGGTGAAGCCAGTTTGGGTTTTAGTCTGAACTATCCATGGTGCTGAACCTGGGGGCAGGTCTAGGGTTCAGCATCTCAGATAGCTTATTTAACATTCAGATCAAAAGCAAATGTAAAACTCCATTCCACTTTGATAAGGAAGCCATAAACTGCCATTGGGGAATTTGGGCCTCATGAATATCTAGGCTAGAGATTAGGGTATATTGAAAGATTTCTAGTTGATAGCTTATTTGTAATTTTTGAATCCTGCCTTTTTACCAAATGGTTCTGATGCCAGAAAGAGTGAGTAACTTGTTGCCATTCAGATCCTATGTTCTCTAATTCCCATGATGTCTGGAACTTATGTGAATTGTGGTGCAAGACATTCCTGTGATTTTCAAAATCAAATGTCCAGATCTTGGGTTGCTGTGAGTTTTCTGGGCTGTATGGCCATGTTCCAGAAGTATTCTCTCCTGACGCTTCACCAACATCTATGGCAGGCATCCTCAAAGGTTGTGGGGGTGCTTGCCATAGATGTGGGTGAAACATGAGGAGAAAATGCTTCTGGAACATGGCCATACAGCCCAGAAAACTCACAGCAACCCAGTGATTCCGGGATCGACGTCTGTTGGTGGTGCTTTGATTGTGTGATCCTGCACAGCAAGGGAGCTGGAGCAGAAAGGCCAGGAGGTTGTAATTGCAAGAGTTAACGGCCCATCTACACTGCTATATGAACTATCTCATTTGAACTGGATTGTATGGCAGTGTAGACTCATATAATAGAGTTCAAAGCAGACAATGTGGATTTTCTGCTTTGATAATCTGGATTATGTGGTAATGTAGATCCATCCAATGTGATCCATCCGCAGAACAGGGTACGCTCCTGCCCTTAGCCCAAGCTCCTACCAACTTAGCAGTTCGAAGGCATGCAAATGTGAATAAATAAGTAAGTACTGCTTTGGCGGGAAAGGCATAAGATGCTCCAAGCAGTAATGCTGGTCACACGAGCAGGAGGTGACAATGCAGGCTCCTTGGCTTGGAAGGGAGAACAGCACCACCCCCAGAGCCAGTGATGAGCACCGCCTCCAAAGCTGGCAATGAAAGGAGAAGCCTTTGCCTTTGTGTTTGTGTGTCTCATTGTATTGTAACGAAGCACTGAATGTTTGCCAGTAACTGTTTATACTGTAATTGGCTTTGTGTCCCCACAGGGAGAAGGGTGAGAATATAAATAAAGTGTTGTTGTTGTTGTTGTTGTTGTTGTTGTTGTTGTTGTTGTATTAACTGCAAAAGTGTTGTTGATTATGCATTTTTCTCCAGGTGAAGCACTGCAGAATCTTATCCAGAACCACAAAGTGACGACATGCAGGAGAGTTATGAGAATGTGATCTCTCTGGGTAAGAGTTTACCTTTCTTTGCTATGAACATTTACCTTGAGTCAAAAGAGGTGAATCAAACCACCTCTGGAGCAGTTTTTAATGTTAAGGTTTACATGTCTTTCAATTGACATTAGATGTATGCACTGAGGACAGGTTTATCCAATGCTATTTATCCTGAACTGTCATGGACTCGCGTGTTGGTTTCACCACAACTGTTAAAAAAAGAATGATGGATTCTAGACTAGATGTGAGGAAACTTTGGCCTTTTGGCTGTTTTGAACTAGCCATGTTGGGTGGGACTGATGAAAGCAGCAACCCCAAATATCTTCTTTGGTGCAAACCTTTAATTAAAAATCAGTGCCTGCCTGCCTGCCTGTCTGCATCTATCTATCTATCTATCTATCTATCTATCTATCTATCTATCTATCTATCTATCTATCTATCTCTGTAAAACACAGATAATTTAATGAAGAGGAGAGTACATCTTGGGCATGTTTAGCCTGAAGAAGAGAAGGCTGAGAGGAGATATGATAGCCATGTATAAATATGTGAGAGAGAGCCACAGGGAGGAACAAGCTTGTTTTCTGCTTCCCTGGAGACTAGGACGCGGAACAATGGCTTCAAACTACAAGAGAGGAGATTCCATCTGAACATGAGGAAGAACTTCCTGACTGTGAGAGCCGTTCAGCAGTGGAACTCTCTGCCCCAGAGTGTGGTGGAGGCTTCTTCTTTGGTGGTTTTTAAACAGAGGCTAGATAGCCATCTGTCAGGGGTGCTTTGAATGCAATATTCCTGCTTCTTGACAGGGGGTTGAACTGGATGGCCCATGAGGTCTCTTCCAACTCTTTGATTCTATGATTATAGATGAACTCTTGGACCTCACAAAATCTGAGGATGTCTGTCATAGATGTGGGTGAAATGTCAGGAGAGAATGCTTCTGGAACATGGCCGTACAGCCCAGAAAACTCACAGCAACCTAGATTTTTTTTAAGCTGAGAGAATATCTCTCTAGGTCTTCCAACATGACTTTAACTTCTACTGGAAGTTAACTATAGATTTCCACTGGAAGACTTAAAAATTGCTAGAGATGTGTTCTAGAATCCCCAAGCATAATTCTGTAGTTAACTTCCCATGGAAGCTAGCCAGCAGAGTTACTCTGGAAAACTTAGAGCATGTCAAATGCAATGCCCACAGTCCACATCTGTCCCTCCACGTCATTTTATGTGACCTGTGAGGCTTTCAACATAGTCTTACAACTACAGCCAACCCGGTGGCACAATGGTTTTACCCTTGTGCCGACAGAACTGAAGACTGACAGGTCAGAGGTTCAAATCCGGGGAAAGCACAGATGAGCTCCCTCTGTCAGCTCCAGCTCCCCGTGCAGGGACATGAGAGAAGCCCCCCAGAAGGATGGTAAATCATCAATACTTCTGGGCGTTCCCTGGGCAGACTCCTTGCAAATGGTCAATTCTCTCACACCAGAAGCAACTTGCAGTTTCTCAAGTCGCTCCTGACATGGGGAAAAAAGGTGACCCTTTGAAGACTACCATAAGGCTGATGTGATCCTTTTTAGACATCATGGGTTGTGCATTGTTCTTAACACTCAAAAAACACTTTTCCAGAAAAAAAGGTGAGGGTTATTAATTACGTTTCTGGAGGGGTGAAAAGAAGAGAGAATGTGAAAGAAGAAATGGTTATATCTGTAAAACAAATATGTATACAACATGTATTTTAGAATATGCTCGATTGCAATTAAGTCCCCTCAGTTTCAGAAGGTCATAAACTCCCTGAGCATATTTAGCACAAGGAGATTAGAAAAACGTGAGAAACTGAAACATATAACCTCAGACTTCAGAGCACACCACATTTGAATGCTTCCTTGCCTTTAAAATCCCTGCAACCAGAAAGCAAGTGCATTGGGAGAGGATTTCAAATCACATATTAGCCTAATTGGCTAGTTTTCTGTTTTTGTTGTGTTTTTAATGCAGATGACCATTGATATTCCTACTGATTAGATAAGAAGACTCTTAGTAGTTGTGTTTGCCCTTTTCTGTCAGATGTTACACTTGAGCCACTTTCAGGCCCCTTTTACACTGCCAGATACAGTCCACATTATCTGCTTTGAACTGGATTATGTGGCAGTGTATACTCATATAATCCAGTTCAAAGCAGATAATGTGGATTATCTGCTTTGATAATCTGTATTATATGGCAGTGTAGAAGGGACCTTAGGCCCCTTCCACAAAGCTGAATAAAATCCCACATTATCTGCTTTGAACTGGAATATATGGCAGTGTGGACTCAGATAATCCAGTTCAAAGCAGATCTTGTAGGATTTTCTGCCTTGATATCCTGGGATATAGGGCTGTGTGGAAGGGCCCCTTGTCTCCTTTGAGAGAGAAAAAGTGGGATACAATACTGATATTGGGATGTTGTAGGTTTTTTCGGGCTATATGGCCATGTTCTAGAGGCATTCTTTCCTGATATTTCGCCTGCATCTATGGCAAGTATCCTCAGAGGTAGTGTAGACCTCACTACTTCTGAGGATGCTTGCCCTAGATGCAGGCAAAACATCAGGAGAGAATGCCTCTAGAACATGGCCATATAGCCCAAAAAAACCTACAACAACCCAGTGATTCCACCCATGAAAGCCTTCGAAAATACTGATATTATTACTAACAACAATAATTATAATAATGGAAATAATAATGGAAAAAGTGTAGGTGAGGCGGGTAGCACAATATGCACATTGTTTAGATGTTAGGAATGTTTGTCTTAATGATTGCAGCAAGAGTTGGGTAGAAATGACTGAGAAATCGAGACACTGAATGTGCTATCTTTCTAAAGTACACCTTTCCTTCTCTAACCACACAGCAGAGGAAATAGCAATCAGCTGGCCCCGGATAACTGCATTTGCTGAATCACACAGAAGGAGAGGCTTGGCATCAGGTAACTTATTCTGGGAAATAACTCAAGCTCCTTCGTCATGGACATATAATGTGGATTAGGTGATTAATCTGGGTTATATGGCAGTGTAGAAGGGCCATAGGGTCATTTTACACAGCCATATAACACAGAATATCAAAGCAGATAATCTACACAGGGGCGGCTCAACCCATTACACAAAGTAAGCATTTGCAGTATAGTTGATTTTGCCCAGGGGTGCTCTTGAGGCACTCTTGGGGAAAAATAGACCTTGACATATGCGAGTTGTAGTTACTGGGAAGTATAGTTCACCTACAATCAAAGAGCATTCTGAACTCCACCAATCATGGAATTGAACCAAATATGGCACACAGAACTCCCACGACGAACAGAAAATATATATATCAGTGATTGGTTGGGGGGGGGGGGGCAAAATACTGTTTGCTTACCATTGAAAATTACCTAGGGCCGCTTCTGAATCTACAATATCTGCTTTGAACTGGATTATCTGAGTCCACACTGTCATATAATCCAGATGTGTGGAAGGGGCCTCAGAGGCTGCAAAGCATTTCTTATTTTTCCTTGTATTCATCCTTTTTCAGCAGAGAAAGAGAGCCAGTGTGGTGGCGATTCATTCCAGGATTTGTCTGACCTTTAAGGAGGTATCCAAGGTGTCAAAAAAAATCCCATAAATAAGGTCAGCACCTTCAATAGCTGCTTTAAAGTTTGGGTGAAAACCTGGAGTGGATTGACCATAACCTTATCACTCCCAACATGAGAGCCACCCTGCAGGATGTAGCAAAGGTCTGAGTGGGGGCCCTTCCACACAGCCCTATATCCCAGAATATCAAGGCAAACAATCCAACGGTATCTGCTTTGAGCTGGGTTATCTGAGTCCACACTCAGATAATGTGGGATTTTCTGCCTTGATAATCTAGAATATAGGGTTGCGTGGAAGGGCCCCAAGTGTTGTGAGGCTCCTTTTGCACTTACAAGCAGATTAAGACAACAGCAACAACAAAACTTTATTTATATACTGCTCTACCTTCCCAAGGAGACTCAGAGCGGTTACCTCCCACAAGCTCTGGTTAATACCTAATGTGGTTCACAGCTAATATGAGAAGTGACTGGAATACACCGTTGATGGAGTGAAATTAAATAAGGAAAAACACTACTAAAATGTCAAGGGGAGTCAGTATGGAAAAGCTTTGCTGGAGGAAGAAACTTTAAGGAAGAGGGAACCTCAACTCGCTGGTCTAAGGAAAAATGACGTTCCAGGCAAAATGTTTGCCTCCTCATCTGTCAATGGCCAAATCTAGAAAGGAGTTGGTTAAGCAGAAAATGCAGAAAGTCACAAAGGCAGAAAGGAAGCAGGTGAGGGGAGGGAGGAAATTAGGTACAGATTTGATGGTTGCTAGGCAATGCCCCCTTTCTTTGCAACTCCTCTTTAATTGCTTGCAGATGAGGAGCCCGGTCCTCCAGGTTACTCTGGGAACACAAAGATCACAGTTTAGAGCCTGCAGCCTCCATTGATGTATATGGTAGACCTGTGAGATTCCCCTTTCCTCAGCAAAAAACATCCAGGATTTTCTCCGTGCTCTTCTCAGCAGATTGAATTAGACTGGGTCCATCTCTACAACTTCATGGGCAATGTGGACTTCGATAATTGCTAACCATGGACTTAATTGGTTAAACAGAATAAAACATGTCTTGCAGGATGGGTTTTGAGATCATTATTATTATTATTATTATTAACTTTATTTATACCCCGCAAAATCTCCCAAAGGACTCGATGCGGCTTACCTTGTAACCTTTTAGAAAATCAGAATCTCCAAAGCCTTTTGAAAGTGTGGCCTTTTGGAGATTAATTGGCATTCACTACCATTTGGAAAATCATAACATTTTTGTAAAGTATGATCTTCCCGATAAAAGATAAAAATTCGTTTGAGTGAATCTTCTCTTTAGTGGTATATATCCACTAGTAATCATGCAAGGCAATTCAGGTTTCTCAGTTGTTACACTGATATACCTGGTTATCCCTTTGAACTGTTAGGAACAAAGATTATGCCAATACACAAAATATATAGCAGACCTTCAGAAGTGTTATTTCAGTTGCCCCAAAACATCTACTGTCCCTTAAAACATCTTGGTTTAAATCATGCTCTCAAGAGACAAAAATAGTCTTTGTTAAAAAATAACATAGTTGGTTTACTTACAAAATTATTGTATTCAGCATACAGATAAATGGCTTATCAGTTGAAAGTTTAAAAAGTAAGTTCTCTAAGGCATTCTGTTGCAGTCTCTTCTCTGTGTTATGGCTAATATATAACAAACACTGACTATACAATACTGACTGAACACTGACTTCTAAAATTGAGTCTCAGTCTGAATAGATCCAGATCTGATCACATGGTCTGCAGTCCTTCCCATAACCTCAAACAACATAGAGTTAAGTGAAAAACTGCATACCAATGCTTGAGCCAATACTTGCTGAGTCATTGCATCCATTTAACCCTTTCAGTGCCTCACTCACATTTCTGCAATTAAATTAACCAAGTTAATTTTAATATTTCTGACAAAATGAACAAAACCTTGGGCTCAAAATCCTTTTATTCTTAGTGTTATTTACAGGGGTCTTGGTGAATCTTAAATTACACCCAGCAAGCTTCAGCCATTGTGGTATAGTGTTTTAATGTTAGATCCAAGACTCCATGAAAACAAGGTTGGAAATCGTGCTCAGCCATGGAAACCCAATGGGTGACTTTGGGTAACTCACACTGTCTCAGCCTTGGAAGAGGGCCAGAGGCATTTGGTTGGTCTTTATAGGAAATGGGTTGGAGGACTTAGATGGGTCTGTGATGTCACCAACAAGACTCAAGTGCTGGTGACATCAACATGATATTTTGACAAAGTGAAAAAAGAGTTGTGATATCAGGTCTATAAACCCATGATTGTCTTTTCAATTTCTCTTTCCCCAAGTTTCCTTTCCCAGACCCCAGGAGTTACTGGATTCTCTCGTTGTTCCAGCAGATGATGGGATGGTGGGTGACAATGAACATGCGAATGACGATGAAGGAGGAGGGGAGAAAGATGAGGTGACACAACAAGATGGAGAAAAAAGAGGAGGAGGAGGAGATGGTGATGAAGGTGACATCACAGTTGAGAAGATGGATGGCCAGGAGAATTCAGTGCCAGAAAAGTCCAAGGAGACTCCCAGGTTTGAACAGAAGGCCCAGCCCAGCTCAGATGAGCAGCTGAAGAAGCCCTTGGGGAAGAAGCAATGCAAAGCAATCACTCACCGTGGCTTAAAGAAGTTCTCAACTCGTGGCCACCATGGATTGCTAGGCCACATCAGCCGCTGCCACGATTGTGGCAATGGCTTCAGCTTCAGCAAGCGCTCACGGTTGTACACCAGCACAGAGAAACCCTTCAAGTGCAATGAGTGTGGCAAGTGCTTCCGGCTCAATTCCACTCTGGTCACCCACCAGCGACGGCACACTAGCACCAAACCCTACCGTTGTGCCGAATGTGGCAAGAGCTTCAGCGTTGGCTCAGCCTTCATCCAGCATCAACGCACACATTCAGGCAAGAAAGGCAGCACAAGCCCAGCCCGGCCCTGTGAGTGCAATGTTTGTGGTAAGAGTTTCAGTCTCCCAGCCCATCTCATCAAGCACCAAAAGCAACACTTGGAGGACAAGCCCTATAAGTGTGGTGAGTGTGGCAAGGGCTTCAATTGGAACTCGCACTTGGAGCGCCACCGCCGCATCCACACTGGGGAAAAGCCTTATGTCTGTGAGGAGTGTGGCCGGGCTTTCGCCTGGAGCTCCCACTTGGACCGGCACCGGCGGACACATTTTGGCAGCACCCAAATGGCCCTCCCTTGCAAATGCCGCTCAGTTGAGCCAGACAGTACAGTGAGCAAGGCCAGCAACAAACCCTACCAATGTGACGACTGTGGGAAAGGGTTTGGCAAGAACGGGGCACTTTCCAAGCACCGGCGGGCTCACCATGCAGCCGAGAAGCCCTATGTCTGCAAAGACTGCGGCAAGAGCTTTGGGCTGAATGGGGCCCTGCTTCAGCACCGCCGGACCCGCCATCCAGATGACTCTGCCAAACCTTATGCTTGCAAGGACTGTGGTAAGAGCTTTGCATGGAGCTCCCATCTGGACCGGCACCAGCGCATCCACGCTGGCGACAAGCCCTACAACTGTGAGGACTGTGGCAAGGGATTCTCACAGAGCTCCCACCTGGAGCGGCACCAGCGCATCCACAGGAGCGCCGAGCACCCACCCTGCCACTGCACGGACTGTGGCCTTGTGGGGACTCGCCGGAAACGTCACTGGGGGGCTTTGCTGCCCTGCAAGTGCAGCGACTGTGGCAAGAATTTCCTCTGGAGGCGTCCGGCTTGCAGCAAGTGTGGGAGAGGTGGCGGGGAAGGGGTGCGCCACCAAAGCACTCAGACTGGCGAGAAGCCCTATTCTTGCCTTGATTGTGGCAAGTGTTTTGCTCAGAACTCAGCATTGGCCAAGCACCGCCGCATGCACACCGGGGAGAAGCCCTACAAGTGTAACGAGTGTGGCAAGAGCTTCAGCGTGCGCTCCAACCTCTTGAAGCATCAGCGCACCCATCTGGGTGAGAAGCCCTACAAGTGCAGCGATTGTGGCAAAGGCTTCATCCAGAAATCGGACCTCACCAAGCACCGGCGCATGCACACCGGGGAGAAGCCGTACCACTGTGATGTCTGTGGGAAATGCTTCAGTGTCAGTTCCAATCTCATCAAGCACCAGCGCATCCACCTGGGAGAGAAGCCATATGCCTGCGGGGAGTGCGGCAAGGCCTTCATCCAGCGCTCAGAGCTCACCATCCACCAGCGCACCCACACAGGAGAGAAACCCTACAAGTGCAGTGTCTGTGGCAAGTGCTTCAGCCGCAGCTCCCACCTCAACCGCCACCAGCGCACCCACAGCAATGACAAGGGCTCTGGATTAGCTCCCGCCACCTTGCTTTCCACCCACACTACCAAACCAGCCACCTCCTTGCCCGTCTCTGCTTTCTCAGCCTCTTTTGCTTCACCCGGCCCTCTCCCTATGTTACCATCCTTCCCTTCTTCCCCATCGCCTCTGCCCATCCCCTCTTTGGACCTGCCCTGGGCCCTCTCGTTCCCCTCCCGAGGTTTCCCACACCCATCCTTCCCTTCTCCAGCCTCTCCGGGTGCCCAGGCCTCTTCTTTAATCAACTAGCTCAGTGTTTCTCAACCTGGGGGTCGGGATCCCTGGGGGGGTCACGAGGGGTTTTTTGAGGGGTCACAAAGACCATCAGAAAACATATATTTCTGATAGTCTTAGAAACCCCTTTGGCAGAGAAGGGTGCCTGTTCTTCTCTTCCTTTTTGGAAACAAATTGTGAATCCTCCCACCAAAAGCCCTCCTCCACTGTGATTGTCTGGCCTCTCAGCCAGCCACCCAGCCAAGGGGAGGGCTGTTTCTCAGACACCAAGCAGGGAGGGGAGAGCAGGCATGCTCAGTGCATGGCAGTGTGGTGCACATGTGCAGGCAAGGGCGAGTGTGTGAGGCAGGAGGGAGATTCACGCCAGCAAGTCCCTTCAAGGCATGGGAGTTCTGGGTGGGAAGTTTGGCCCAATTCTATCGTTGATGAGGTTCAGAATGCTCTTTTTTATTGTAGGTGAACTATAAATCCCAGCAACGACAACTCCCAAATGTCAAGGCCTGTTTTTCCCAAACTTCACCTGTGTTCACATTTGGGCAAATTGAGTATCACACCAAGTTTGATCCAGATCCAGCATTGTTTGAGTCCACAGTGCTCTCTGGATGTAGGTGAACTACAAATCCAAAACTCAAGGTCAATGCCCACCATGTTGGTCATGGGAGTTGTGTGTACCAACTTTGGTTCAATTCCATCGTTGGTGGAGTTCAGAATGCTCTTTGATTGTAGGTGAACTATAAATCCCAGCAACTACAACTCCCAAATGATAAAATCAATCCCCCCAGCCCCACCAGTATTCAAATTTGGGTGTACTGGGTATTTGTGCCAAATTTGGTCCAGTGAATGGAAATACATCCTGCATATCAGATATTTGCGATTCATAACAGTAGTAAAATGACATTTATGAAGTAGCAACAAAATAATTTTATAGCTGGGGATCACCACAACATGAGGAACTGTATTAAGAGGTTGCAGCATTAGGAATGTTGAGAAACACTGAACTAGCCCCTCTTGTTTCCCCCACCAGTCCTTTCTCTCTTGGTGCCCTCCCCTTCTTCTTAGCAAGCACTTTCCTTCTGCAGAGTCCATGCTATGAGGGGCAATTACCGACACATTGTCAGTGAATCCGGTCTGAATTTTTGTCAGAGATGTAAAGGAACTACCCAACGTACTGAACTCTTTTCACTACATAGATTCACTGCCCCAGTGAGTTGAGAGGTGCTGACAATTGCTGCCTCCCGTGTGTACCTTCTGAGTAGTGCCCTTTCCTCTGGTTTTTTTTTTTTCAGATTTGTCTCTGCAGCTTCCTCCTTTTTGGTTTTGAGTGGGGTTTCCCAAAAATTGGGAACTGGGATGCTAGAATAGATAAGCCTGATCTAGCACTGGTCTTACATTTTGATGTTTCTCATTGTTCCTCCAGTTGTCAGTGTTTGGCTAAGCAATCAACTTATTTTCTGTTCTTTTGTTTTCTTCCTGAATTTAAACTCTTAATTCTTCTAGCACAGGTTTTCTCAACCTGGGGGTTGGGACTCCTGGGGGGTCACAAGGGTGTGTCAGAGGGGTCACCAAAGATCATCAAAAAACACAGTATTTTCTGTTGGTCATGAGGGTTCTGTGTGGGAAGTTTAGCCCAATTCTATTGTTGGTGAAGTTCAGAATGCCCTTTGATTGCAGGTGAACTATAAATCCCAGCAACTACAACTCCCAAAGGTCTATTTTCCCCATCCTCCACCAGTGTTCACATTTGGGCATATTGAGAATATGGTCCAGGGCCAGATCCATCATTGTTTGAGTCCACAGTGCTCTCTGGATGTGGGTGAACTACAACTCCAAAACTCAAGGTTAGTGCCCACCAAATCCTTCCAGTATTTTCTGTTGGTCATGGGAGTTCTGTGTACCAAGGTTAGTTCAATTCTACCATTGGTAGAGTTCAGAGTGCTCTTTGATTGTAGGTTAACTATAAATCCCAGCAGCGATTAACTCCCAAATGGAAAAAAAATCAATGTCCCCCAACCCCACCAGTATTCAAATTTGAGTGTATCAGGTATTCATGCCAAATTTCATCCAGTGAATAAAATAGATCCTGCATATCAGATATTTAAATTACAACTCATAACAGTAGCAAAACTACAGTTATGAAGTAGCAACTAAAATAATTTTATGGTTGGGGGTCACCACAACATTTGGAACTGTATTAAGGGGTCGCAGCATTAGGAAGGTTGAGAAACACTGCCCTAGAAGAACCCACCACCTTGTGTGACTGTGGAGCAGAACAAACAACTCCACATTTGTATGCTTGTCCACAATGCCCTGCCTCATGCACAGAAGAATTGTTTAAAGCTACAGACAATGTGATTGCTGTTGCTCATTTTTGGTCAAAAATTCTTTAGCTGTGTGTGCTTCTTCTATTTTATAAGTGTTAATACTTATTTATGCAATGCTTTTGACACAAAAAATAAATAAATATGGATAATAGGTCTACAGCTTTGAAACAGGCAGATGATTCAGAAATCTTTTTAGTGACACAACTTATGTTGTGACATAGTATAACATAACATGTCAATGTGTCCATGAGTTGTTCTCTGTCTTGTGGGAATGGCTTATCATTTTGTTGCACAATGTTGGGACAATGTAAGCACTCATTATTTTTGTGGGTGTCTGCACTGTAAATATTGGTTCGGCTTCCTGGTTTCACCCTGGAGAAAAGTGCCAGCCCAAAAGGAACTTCTTCCTCCCACATCAAGCAATGTGTATCAAATGATTAAGGAAAAAAGGAACAATTTCACACTCCCCCGTCTCAACTTTGCATCTTCCTAGACCGTATGTAAGGTGAAGCCCACTATTCTAGTCACAAGACATTATGTTATCCAAAGACGAGGCTTTGGAAACATCTGAAACCTTGCCTTGAAAGATAAACTCTTCCAGATGCCATTTGACTCCAGAAAGTGTTGATACTGACCCACATTCATCAGGGATGTCCTAGTGTAGCAGCTGCAGTTATGGATCTGTAGGTTTCTGTGGAAGCTTCCGTATTAGAAGACAAATAATACTGGCTGCTACACCAGCAGAATGATTTGAGGTTGGACTACAACTTGGGATAGTGGGAGGAGGGAGCAAGCTTGTTTTCTGCTGCCCTGGAGACTAGGACACGAAACTTCAAACTACAAGAGAGGAGATTCCATCTGAACACGAGGAAGAACTTCCTGACTGTGAGAGCCGTTCAGCAGTGGAACTCTCTGCCCTGGAGTGTGATGGAGGCTCCTTCTTTGGAAGCTTTTAAACAGGGGCTTGATGGCCATCTGTCAGGGATGATTTGAATGCAATATTCCTGCTTCTTGGCAGGGGGTTGGACTGGATGGCCCATGAGGTCTCTTCCAACTCTTTGATTCTATGATACTCAGAATCCTTGCTGGGCTTTGAAAACCCACTGGGCAACCTCAGTGTCAGAGGAAGGGAAAAACAACCCATCTTTAAACATTTTTTTTGTCAAAACCTCATAAGAATTTCTCCTTTGGGTGACCATAGCTCAGACTCAAAGGCACTCAATCACAACAGCAATATTGAGATTTCTGTATTGCCTTGTATATGAGTCTTTGCTTTCGTAACTTTGTCTAACTCTCTATTATCATCAGTTCATACAACTTGGAAAGGCCATTCTGTTTCTTTGTTGAGCTGTGTTCACTGCACAGCCTGGACTTGAAATGCAACTGGTTGTGCATTTAATTATAATTATTTTTGTGTATTTAATTATTATTTTTTATTGGAATAATATTGGAAGGCCATTACACCCTCCATCATTATCTAGAAGAGTCTTTTGTGGACATAACAAAAGCGAAGTAAAGTCTAGGGAGAGAGGGGAGACTAGGTGAGTCTGTGCCAATATTGACAATCTCGTGGAAGTCCTGCCAAAGAAGAGGGTGCTGATCCTCCTTTCCAGTTTGTGATCTATGCGAAAAAAACATCACATCCAAACTTGTCAAGACTACCCAAGGAAAACTTCAATTTCAAAACCAGTTTGAGAGAGAATAAAGATGGAGAGAAGCAAAAAATATTCCATAGGGCATAAACTTTACTTTAAATAAAATACACAGCAGAAGCCAGTCATACAAATACGCACACACACATACAGAGTTGCTATCAGGCTGCCTCGAACCGGCAACGGGCTCTCATCACAGCCAGCGACCAGCAAATCTGTTTAGATTGCCACCCCACACAAAATGCTGGGAGAGACAAGGGCTGGGGAGATTGCTGGGAGCGTAGGGAGAAACTTCCCAGCTCCATCTTTTGCCACCTCTTAGTGCAAATGACATCCCAAGCAGCACGAGTGTAAAACTGGGATGTGCTGAGAGGTTGAAACCCACAGAGAGGGAAGTCTGTCATCCCAAACAGAACCAGCTTCTTGCTGTGCGTCCTTCTCTTCTGGTAGTGTTGAAAGGCACCTTCAAGATGCCAGCCTCTTCGTAGCTCTGGCTCTGCTAAGACGTGAGAGCGGGTCTTCGGCTCGACGAAGCTATAAAGAGGCAGGCAGCTGCCATCCTATATAGAAAATCTGTCGCTAGAGAGGGACAAAGGACATGCCTCTGAGAATAAAAGAGTAGTGTGTTCAAAGTAGCCCGGTAGGGGCGCCAGAGTTCCATTTAAAAAGGCCATATTGTATAGCCTGGGTTAGCAATTCAATGAAAGCGGTGTGGGAAGGGTCTCTACAATGCAGTGATAGCAGCAAGGGAGCATACACTAACATCTCTTCTTTTTCTGGATTTCCAGCCCACCACTACAAAACAACCATCTAAAACCTCCCCTTCACCATTCTTTGCCTCCCAGGAGGTCAAAAGGATGGTTTTACCAATAAGGCAGGGCTGCAGAAGCACTTCCAGCATGTAACACTCCCAGGAAACAGGTGCATGCTGGGGGGAAAGTGGGGGAATGATGGCCTGATGGACCAAGAACAACGGGACAAAAAATGCCGAAGTCTTCAAGCAATGGGAGCATGGATGAGCCCCGTTGTGCTTGTAGGGCAGGGAGTAAGGGGCTACACACAGAGAGGAAACAATCCACTTGCAGGCTACATGTCAGACGGGCAAGGCCCAATGTTGCTACATAACCCATGCACTCCACAAACCGCCTCCCCCTTGTAACTACTACTCGGGCCTCTGGTCCCAAATACCCAGAAGGACCAGAGTTAAAGGGACTGCAAGAGGGTCAGGGGGAGGAGAGGGACGTCAGAGGCTGATGCTGCGGTGGTGCTTGAAGGGGTGCGTCTGGGCACTGCGGCGCTGCTCCCGCTCCTCCAGCTCGTCGCTGTTGAGGCTGGCGGCGTCGGAGAGACCCAGCAAGTGCTCCACCGAGTCGAACTTCTGCAGGTCGGAAGCAATGGTCTGGAAGCTGAGCACCGAGAGGGTGTCGGAAGAGGAGATCGGCTCCGGAGGGAGTGCCGCACTACCGTACAGCAGGGCCGGGCTGGCCTCCGCCCCCACCGGGGAAGCCCTGCGCCCAACCAGGCGCTGGAGCCGCCGGGCGTGGATCTGCTCGCTGATCTGCTCCAGATTCCTCAAAGCCACTGAGTAGCGCATCTTAGCCTGAGAGACCTGCTGCTCCAGGGATGTCACCCGGGCCTTGTGCTCCTAAACAGCAAAGATAGAGGTACAAAAGCCTGTTATAATCATTGTCAATATAGCAAGCATGGGCCAAATCTCTTAGGGATTTTTACTGTAACAATACAGATGAGCTCCCGCTGGGCAGTGGGTTAAATCAGAGAGCTGCTGAACTTGCTGACCAAAAGGTCAGCAGTAGAAATCCGGGGAGCAGGGTGAGTTTCCACTGTTAGCCCCAGCTTCTGCCAACCTAGCAGTTCGAAAACATGCAAATGTGAGTAGAGTAATTCGCTTAAAAATGGAGATGAGCACCACTTCCAGAATCGGACATGACTAGACTTAATGTCAAGGGGAAATCTTTATTTTTACTTTAATAAAAATGAGCTGTGTTAGGATGCTGGGGACTGGGACTCCACATTGGCTACTACTGAGACTTTGGAAAACTGACTTCCATTTCATACACACCCAGATCTTTTCTACTTTTTTCACAATTTTTAACAATTCTTCACAATTTTTAACATGGTCCCCATTGGGGACATCTTGGCCACATTTAGCAACATTTCATGCCCATACTGAAGTCACTGCACTGGCTGCCAATTAGTTTCCGAATAAAGCACAAAGCACATTAAAAGCCCTATATAGTTTGGGTCTAGGTTACCTACAGGATCACCTTCTCCCGTACAATCTGCCCCTGGGGACACTTAGGTTCTCTGAGGACACTTACTCCAACCAGCCAGAACCCAACTGGCGACTGTCACCCGGAGGACAGTTTCACTGGCTGCCCCAAGACATCTGCAGGAAGACCTTTGACAGCAAAATTAGCTGTCAGAATTTAAAAAAGATCTGTTTCTTCCAGCAGGCCTACCCAGTCAATTCTGAATTTTAACTTTACATTTTATTGGTATTTCTGTCAATCTTTGCTCTATGTATTGTAATAGATGCATTTTAATAGTATTATATTTTATTTGAGTGCTTCAACCATGTTGTACCCGATCCCGAGCCATGAGGGGAGGTAGTAAAGGTACAGGCAAAGGTTTCCCCTAACATTAAGTCTAGTCATGTCCGACTCTGTGGGGTGGCATTCATATCCATTTCTAAGCCAAAGAGCCGGCATTGTCCATAGACGCCTCCAAGGTCATGTGGCCAGTGCCGTTAACTTCCTGCAAAAGCGATACCTCTTGATCTACTCATACTTGCATGTTTAGGTTGGCAGAAGCTGGGCCTAACAGCGGGAGCTCATTCCACTTCCCGGATTTGAACAGCCAACCTTTCGGTCAGCAAGTTCAGTAGCTCAGCGGTTTGACCCACTGGGCCTATGAGAACCTATGAGGAGAGGCAGGAAACGCACACACACACACATAATTTTATTATAGGACAAACACCAGGCTGAGAAATAATTGATTAGAATAGGGATTTCTTTCTAATATATTATCATCACATTATCTTCAATTTTTCTTGTTTCATGAAATTGATCAATAAAGACCAGTCTATGCCTTTTTTTAAAAGTTGCCTTGTGGGGTTTTATTTGATATGTCAATTCTTCCATGCTCATTATTTTCACCATTTTTGTTAACCATTCATTTATTGTGGGGTCCTGCTACTGAAAATCTTATTGACTGGAAGGTCGGCAGTTTGAGCCACAGGTGGGGGTGAGCTTCCGCCGTCAGCCCTAGCATCGGCTTATCTAGCAGTTTGAGTAGATATATAGGTACCGCTTCAAAGGGGAGGTAAAAAGTTCCCCTGAAAACATGTCAGCAAATTCAATCCGGAAGGCGTCCATGGACAACAGCTTCCTTGGTGTGGAAAATGACACAACAGCACCTTCCCAGGGCCGAGTCGAGCACAATCTCCAGGTGGCAGACATGGAAAAGTGGGAAGCCTTGCCTCTGTCTATGTACTATCTGTCTTTGTTGTTAATTGTGTAATGGCATTGAATGTTTGCCATATATATATTCTGTAATCCACTCTAAAGTCCCCTTGGGGAGATAGAGCGGAATATAAACAAAGTATATTATTAAATGCATATTTTGTCTAGTTTCTTATGGAGGAGACTGAATTTAATTTAATTGATGTTTAGTTATTAATCTAACATTTAGAGTGTTTTGAGCAAATGCGCATTGCCTGGGGGACTTGGTGGGTTGAGAAGTTGAATACTTAAACCAACTTCTGCAGGGCGCATGAATACATTTCCAGTTTGCTGATTGCTTAAAGGCTATATCATCAACGGGGACCAATTTGACAAAAGCAGAAACCAATCAGAAAAAAGTGGATTTGAACAAGAAAACTATAAATACATAAAACATTATTTTTATTAAAATAAACCATTATTTATTAAGCAATAAAGTTCCCAAACCCACAAAGTAATTAATAGTTATTACAAAAGATTAACATTTTAATGCATTGTTGTATTCTTTCTAATTCATCTAGGATCAAAATTAATTATAAATTAAATTAAATCCATTATGGAGCGATTTTAATTCATTACAGAATAATCCTTCCATTCCAAATCAACTCAGGAACCCATAAAGGTAAATTAACTTACTCCAGTAGCACTGGCGGCAGCAGAAGAAGCAACTCAAAGGCCTCTTGCTCCAACTGACTGAGGCCATGCTTTGAAATTCTTGCAAAACCAAGGTTTCTGCTTGACTAGTAATTAACAAGGCAATTGACTGCGTTAGTTAACAGCAGCATTTGAATGCATTTAACAATTTACATTTTGACTGGTGGAGAACCCCAGTGGCGCAATGAGTTAAACCCTTGTGCCGGGTTCGAATCCAGGGAGCGGGGTGAGCTCCCATCTGTCAGCTGCAGCTTCCCATGTGGGGACATGAGAGAAGCCTCCCACAGGATGGTAAAACATCTGGGCGTCCCCTGAGCAATGTCTCTGCAGACGGCCAATTCTCTCACACTAGAAGCGACTTGGGGTGAGCTCCTGTCTGTCAGCTCTAGCTTGTTGGGACATGAGAGAAGCCTGGTAACTGACATCATTGAGAGTTTTCCCATGTCATTAAATTAACTGGGGGACATAGAAAATTCCCAGGGAGGACATATTTTGATGGATGAGCATAGCTGATGATATTGATACTAATCTCACAGTTACAGGGGTCATACCATATTCCAATTTTATATTCAAATATGGAACACAGGGAGAGTTGGGGAAAGTTACATTTTGAACTATAAAACCCAAATAAGAGACATATTGGCTGGGGAGGCTGGAAGCTCTAGTCACCAAAGGTATAACACTTCTACATTCTGACATGAGGGACTGCTATGGCAGTTATTTACTCATGTATATCTCACCTTTTCTCCATTCTGAGGCTCAAGGCAGCTTACAAAAATTAAAATAAACACAGCTCAAACACTGACAAAGTCATAAACGAAGACATAATTTGGCTAATATCCCGTTAGTAACCTAAGTAAGTTAATGAAGCAACTTATTCACCACTGCACTACAGATCAATTACAGCAGCAGAAGCAGAACTGCATATTGCACGTGTGCACTGTGTATTGACACCAAGGGCCCTTTTAGACAGGCCCTATATCCCAGATCCGCTTTAAACTGGATTATATGAACGAGTCCACACTGCCAGATAATCTGGGATAAACAGAAAAGCTGGGATCGGATCCTGGTATATAGGGCCTCAAGTCATTGACAAATTGCGCAGCATTCCTATTATACATCACAGAACTAAGAACCGCGGTGGTGCAATGGGTTAAACCCTTGTGCCAGCTGGACTGCTGACCTGAAGGTTGGGTTGCTAACTTGAAGGGTGCCAGTTCAAATCCACGAGATGGTGTGAGCTCTAGTTGCAGAGACATGAGAGAAGCCTCCCAGCAGGATGGTAACACATCCAGGTGTCCCCTGGGCAACGTCTCTGTAGATGGCCAATTTTCTCACACCAGAAGCAACGTGCAATATGTTCTCAAGTCACTTCTGACATGATAAAAAAATACATGGCAGAGTGTGTAGTGAGGGTCCAGCATATCTCCATATGTGGATATTTATGGAACATTAACAGGATGTCAGGTTACAGCTTTGACTGTCTGGGTTATTGTGGCCTGATCTTCTCCCTTCACTTCACTGACCATGGATTCCATCAATTCTTAAGACTGGTGAGTTTGTTTTCTGCTGCTCTGGAAACTTAGACATGGAGCAATGGATTCAAACTACAGAAAAGAGGTTCCACCTAAACATTAGGGGGGAAAACTCCTAAAGGTAGGAACTGTTCAATATGGAATATGCTGCCTTGGTGTGTGGTGGAGTCTCCTTTAAGATGGCTGGATGGCACTATGGATTAAACTTTTGTGTTGCTGAACTGCTGACCTGAAGGTTGGCAGTTCGAATCTGCAGGATGGGTTAGCTCCCACTGTTAGCCCTAGCTCCTGCCAACCTAACATATAAATGTGAGTAGAGAAATAGGTACCGTTTTGGCGGTAAAAGGCAAAAAGACGCTCCTAGCAGTCATGCCGGCCACACGACCAGAAGGTGTATACGGGCGCAGGCTCCTCAGCTTAGAAATGGAGAAAGAATACCTCCCCATGAGCCGGAGATGATCACCACTTCCGAGCCAGAAATGAAAGGAGAAGTCTTTTCCTTTGTCTGTGTATTTGTGTCCCACTGTATGTCATTTCGCCACATTGTCTGAATACCCAATCACTGTCTCCCAAAGCAGTTACTCTACTCCCAACTCAAGAAGGGAAACGTAATGTTGGTGGACAGGAAAAGAGATTTAAAGATGGGCTTAAAGCCAAACTTAAAAACTGTGGCAGAGAGACTCTGAGAACTTGGAAGCCCTGGCCCTTGAGCGCTCTAACTGGAGGTCAGCTGTGACCAGCAGTGCTGCAGAATTCGAATAGAGGGTGAAAGGGAGAAACGTGCTAAGAAGAAGGTGCATCAAGCCAACCCTGAACAGAACTTCCTTCCACCTGGAAACCAATGTCCTCACTGTGGGAGAACATGTGGATCAAGAATAGGGCTCCACAGCCACCTACGAACCCACCGCCAAGACACCAGACTTAGGAATCACCTAAGTAAGTAAAAAGCATTTGTAACAAGGCATTGAATGTTTTTCTGTGTCTGTGTATATACTGTAATCCACTTTGAGTCCCCTTGGGGAGAAGAGCAGAATATAAATAAAGTATTGTCATTATTATTATTATTATTATTATTATTATTATTATTATTGTGTCAGTGGTGCTTTGATTGTGTGTTTCTGTATAGCAGAACAGGGTTGGGCTGGATGGCTCTTGGGGTATCCTCCAACTTTATGATTTTATGTTAGGAATATTGAGCTATCGTGGAAAATTAGCTGGGATCCACACAGATTGGGTTCTAGTGGTGGAAAAACGCTCCACGGCTACGGCCCATTAGAGGATGGAAGTGGTCAAAGGAATCAGGACAGGGTCAGTGGCCTTACCTCAAGGATTTGGTTGAACTGAGCCTTCAGCTCAAAGTAAGGCTTGCTCTTCACAATGACACGCTTCAGGGACTTCTGCAGTGACTGCACCTTGGCCTCAGCTTGCTGGCAGAGCTGCGTGACACGCTGATGCTCCCGTTCGCTGCGCAACCGCTCTTCCTCGGCCTCATTCACCTAAAGGACAAAGGTGGGAAAAGTACAAACCAAGGTTATATTCAAAAATACCTCTGTGGACTTCAATCAAAGAAGCCTTCCATCAGACACAAATGCGTCGAGACCAATGGCCCGTCTTTAAGCAGGTATTAACTAGACAACAAAATGAAGTTCACTTTTTAAAAACAAGGAAACTACAACAAGAGGGAATACAATTTACATGGTTTCAATATAGACAACGGAGCCCCCAGTGCCGCAATGAGTTAAACCCTTGTGCTGGCAAAACTGCTGACTGACAGGTCAGCAGTTCAAATCTGAGGAGAGTGGGTTGAGCTCCCTCTCTCAGCTCCAGCTCCCCATGCGGGCACATGAGAGAAACCTCCCACAAGAATGGTAAAAAAATCAAACATCCAGGTGTCCCCTGGGCAATGTCCTTGAAGACGGCCAATTCCCTCATACCAGAAGCAACTTGCAGTTTCTCAAGTCACTCCTGACAAGAAAAAAATATATAGACAACTACAATGGACGTGAAGATAGGCATCAATTTGGAAATATAACAAAATGGATAATATTTTTTCCAGTCTATGGGAATTGTTTTTTCAAGTGTATAAAATATTAATAAAATAAGATACAGAATATCTGATTAAAGATTATATGATTCAATGGTCATAATATTCATTGAGACAAGTGGGAACAGATGTGGAAAATAGATTAAATTTACAAGATGTTATGGACTAGGATAAAACTTCTACAAGATGATGTACAGATGGTACATGACACCGGAGAGACTACCAAAGATGAAACCAAAATTTTAAAATGTTTATTAGAAATGTCAGTAAAAAGAAGGAACCTTTCTCCATTTGTGGTGGTCATGCCCTAAAGCCAAAACAATCTGTATTATAACAGAATGCTAAAGAGAGGGGAATTTCACCTTGCATGTTGCATGATTAAGCATCTCCTGCCACGTGGGATCCAGGCGGTTCTTGTCTGCCATGACTCCCTGCTCAGCCACGAAAACCATCTCGCGGGCCGCATTGTGCATGCTCACGGCTCGCTCGTACCGAAGCGCAGCTTTCTGGGTTTCCTGCTGGGCCTGCAAAATAGGGAAGGAGAGTGGAATGGTTAATGCAGCAAAAATATGTTTTACATTCCCTTCAGGAAACTGGAAAAATAAGCCAGGTGTCTTGGGGTCCTTCCAAACAGCCATATATTCCACTATATCAAGGCAGAAAATCCCACAATATCTGCTCTGAACTGGGATATCTCAGTCCACACTGCCATATATTCCAGTTCAAAGCAGATAATGTGGGATTTTATTCAGCAGTGTGGAAGAGGCCTTGGTTCTTTGTCACACTCCCCCTTGTTAAAGTATACAGAAATCTGGATGAGTTTTTGCAAGGATCAACAACAAGGTTAAGGTAGATCTATGTGTAAAGAAAGAAAGGTCCACATGCAGGTGTGTTGCATGGATCAATAGATGCAAGTGCTTATCTGATCCAAAGTGAAGAGAGAAGACAGTTCCATCTTGTCTCTGGTGCTTTACTAATAATATAATGTAATATAATATAATATCTATAATATTATAATGTAATACAATATGATACTAATAATAATACAATATTATAATTATGTAATATTACTAATAATATTACAATATAATGCTATAGTACAATATAGTAATATATAATAATACTGAGTGAAGAGAGAGGGGGGCAGAAGATAGTTCCATCTTGTCTCTGGTGCTTTACTAATAATATAATATAATATAATATCTATAATATTATAATGTAATACAATATGATACTAATAATAATACAATATTATAATTATGTAATATTACTAATAATATTACAATATAATGGTATAGTACAATATAGTAATATATAATACTGATATTGTACTATGCTAATAATATAATCTATTGTATATACATATAATATTTATAATATTATAATGTAATACAATATAATACTAATAATAGTAATACAATATTATAATTATATTTTTATATTACATGTAATATTACTAATAATATTACAATATAATGATATAGTAATATATAATACTGATATTGTACTATTGTACTATGTTAATAATATGATCTACTGTATGTACATACCTTGTAAGCCACTCTGAGTCCCCTTTGGGGTGAGAAGGGCGGCATATAAATGTCATAAATAAATAAATAAATAAATGTATCTTGCTGCAATCAACAGGGTGTAACTAAAGAGGTTTGAGTATACCATTGGAAGCTCTGTACAAATTGCTGTTGAGGGTGTCAAGCTCTGTTTTTTTTTTTTTTGGTTTTTTTTCTCCTGCAGATTGTTAATACAATATTCTTTGGAAAGGACCATTTGTTTAGTAAGGAGATCAATGAACTAAGCTATATTTTATTTTGGATGCTGAAGGAGTATATTTTCTGCTATATCTGGATAAAGCTGTTTATTTTCCTCTCTGCTGAAGCTCTGCACAAACCTACTGCAACCCTGGTGTCATTTTATCTTCAAGGGCACTGCAGTTGGACTTTAATTTTGGTATTATAGAGGGACGGATTGTTTTCTGGCATTAAACGCAACACTCCTTTCCCTAACCAGAGCTTAGGAACATTACTGAAAACAAGAAGGCTTAGCTACAAGAAAGACTGTTGCTTTTCAGCAGTCACTTCAGAATCCCAATGGCTGCTTTTTTCTGAGTCTCTTACACAAAATGGGCCCAGCACAATCACGAAGCCCAGCTCTAATCCTTTAATGTTTCCTGCTCTAAGACAAACCAGGGACAGTAAGAGTCTCAGCAGCAGAACACAACGAAAGCAAAGAGACATTATTACCTCCTTGGCCAAGCGCCTGGCCTCATAATAAGGACGGGCTTTCTCAATGCAGTTCCCCAGCTGGGAGCCCTGTGCATTCAGCTTCCTGGCAGATTCAGACAAGATCCTCCGGTAGGTGGTACGGGCTTCCTGTGGGAATCAAGGGCACAAACTGCCTCAGGAGAACAGTCAAAACAGAACAGAACCCAACAACACCACTCTCCTTATTTCCCCATTCAGTTCATAGCATAGGAAACCTAAAAGCCTATCTGAAAAACTGTATTCTCACATAAAAACCTGCCCATGTTTTGAGAAACGCTGGAGAGGCCCTTCTCTCTGTCCCATCTCCTTCATACTCCTGAGATGGCCTTCTCGATGGCTACTCCCAGATTTAGAAATTCCCTTCCAAGAGAGATTTAAATGACACCCCCACTTTACCTTCACTGCTGCCCCTCTCAAGCCAGAGCTAATAATAAATAGGGATCAAGACATCAGCCAACCCACCTTCCTAGCCAAAGAGGAATAGGAGCAGATTTTTCCCCACTATTAGGCCATGCTTCCAAGACAACAGAAAGATAACAATATTTCCTATCCCTGTGCCCAGCACTCTGTCACCATATGGAAGGTGTTGGGTGAGTGGGCTTATCAACAAAAGACCCTCCTCACAAATGTACAGCAGAGCAACCTATCAGTAGCAGCGTGACCCAGCACCAGCAGCCAAAAGTAATAAAAAGAACAAAAAACACAGAGATCAATGTTATCTCTTCCATAGGAGGCTTTTCTTTATAGCAAAATAATATGGTTGCACTATTTACAAGAACAAGGTTTCCATGACACAAAGTTCACCGGAGAATCACACACAATAATAATAATAATAATAACAACAACACTTTATTTGTACCCCGCTACCATCTCCCCATGGGACTCGGTGCGGCTTACATGAGGCCAAGCCCAAACACAACAATACAAGCAATAATTACATGAGGCCTCATACTGATGTTTACCACACACTCTGAGGCCTTTCTCCCACAGTGAGGCCTACTACCACTGAGACCTATTCTCCCACTGAGGCAGTCTCTCACACTGAGAGCTCTCTCAAACTAAGACGTTACTAAGCAACAGGCACACCTGCTTATATTGAACTACAGCTTTTGCTGAGTCGTTGCATCCGTTTAACCCTTTCAGTGCTTGACTCACATTTTGGTAATTTAATATACCTAGTTAATTTTTAATATTTCTGACAATAAGTGACTGTTCCCTGCCTACACACACTCTCAATACATATGCATGCATCTCGCTCACTACCCCTGAACAAAACAAAACAAAAAAAATCCAAAAAACATGGTAGCAAGGGAAAGAAAGATAACGCAAAAGGGTTTGGTGCACTTTTTCCTTACATCCAGCTGCAGCTCCACACGATTTATCTCCTCATTGGCCTGGTTGAGATGCTCCAGCTCCTCCTATGGTCAGAAAGACAGAAGAGCAAGGCTCAAGAACAGTCATTGGCCAGGACTTTCTCCAAAGGGCTACTTGGCATTGGACAGTGTATCTGTAGGTTTGTATCCCCTTCTCAGCCCATCCACGAACAAGGAGAGCTATCATACCCATCAACGAACAAGATAAGTTTTTGGACATAGAGTTCCAGTATTGTTCCGCCAGCATGGCCAGGTGCTGCCCAAAAAACCCCCCTCCGTGCTATGAATATACAGAAAGAAAGAGAAGGAGAGAATGCTATTTTTAAAAATTTCAAATTGGTGATGGGAAATTATGAGCAGCTACCTGCCAGACAGATTCCAGTCAGTTTTAAGAATTTCCATTTTGTGTTTCACTATGTTAACAACAACATGGGATGAAAGAAGATGAGGGAAGCAAAGAAAAAAGCAATACAGCCAAGCTTCCAGTGGTACACTTTGAATAGAGACAATGGAATATCATAGTCCTCTAAAATATAGGTGATTTTCCATCACCTATCTTCAAGGTGGGCCTGGTTTCAACCTAAATGTAAAATTGATGCTTTTGGTTTGATCCCCACCCTTTTCCTGTGCCATCTGGTGTCAGCTCTTTATCCTTATCTGTTTGTGACACTTCTGTCCCATTTTTCCTCCAAGGAACTGAAGGTAAATAGGAGTCTAGTGTCTAGATCGAGGGAAGTCATGCAACACTTCTATTCTGCCTTGATCAGACCACACCTGGAATATTGTGTCCAGTTCTGGGCACCACAGTTGAAGGGAGATGTTGACAAGCTGGAATGTGTCCAGAGTGTTACGCTGCTGGAGATGGAAATACAAAGAAGTTGAAGAATTAATGAAGAAGACCAGAGAGAAGAGCTAATACTGTGAAGGTATGAACTGATTGGGAGTGTAAAGTGTTGAAAGAAGGTCTGAAGAGAGTCAAGAACATCTGCTAGACTTTTGTAAATACTACTGTGTAAAGTTTTCTACAAAAGATACAAGTTGTGCTTGTATATTCCTTAACCGGAGGAGGAGTGCTTCTGCTTAAGAAGGGGGTTGGCTTGTTGCTAAACAAAGAACCCCAACAATTGGCTGCAACACATGGTACTAAGTTTACAAATTTTGAGCAGAGCTGTTCATAACTGGATCACTTGGTGATCTCTCACTCCTAGGGTTGCCATAATAGCCCTGAAAACTTACGTTTTATGGCAGAATGTTTTTTAAGTGTGTAAGATTGTGAGCTGCTGTAACTCCTAGTCCTGGAAGAAAAGTGGGACACAAACAACAACAACAACAACAACAACAACAACAACATAAGCAGCAACAACCTGTCCGAACGTATCTTCTGGTACAAACCATCATGAAACTTAAGATCATCTGGGGAGGCCCTACTCTCGATCCCACCAACATTGCAAATGCGACGGGTGGGGATGAGAGACAGGGCCTTCTCATCAGTGGCCCCCCGCCTGTGGAATGCTCTCCCCAGAGACATCAGGATGGCCACCTCCCTCCTGTTTTTTAGAAGGAAAATCAAGACCTGGCTGTGGGACCAAGCAAGTAAAAGAAGATTTTAACATTTATGGCAATGATTTGACCCGGACTGGATTTTGGATTCCGATTTTTAATAGGCGTGTGTTAATTGTTTTAATTACTGTTTCTAATATTTTTTAATATTTAATGTACTATTGATTGTTTCATGATGACGACACCATATGGTGCTTTGTGAAGCCTCCCTGAGTCCCCCTGTCCCTGTCCCCGTCCCCCCCCCCGGGTGAGAAGGATGGGGTATAAATAGAGGAAATAAATAATAATAAATAACAATAACAAAAGCAACAACCACCACCAGCATTATTGGTAGTAAGCACTTTAAGGTAAAATATGATTGAGCTGTTCCTTCTGGCACTACAGACCACCACAAAAAACTTTCTGAATTTGTACACAGTGCTTGGGCTGAGCAAGACTCCCCAGCCGTGATCAAAACCTATCTCACCTGGATGCGGGGGTCCAGTTCTTCTTCCTCCTCTTCTTCTTCTTTCCTTTCAGGACTCTTGACATCCCCACCGCTGTCACAGATGGCTTCAGGCACAGGGGTCCTTGGCTCTTCCCCTTCTTCTGTGGGAGTCCGCAACTCCCCGGGAGGCGTCTGCCGCCCATCTCCCCTGTTCATGCCCAGCACCAGACGCTGGCCAGAGCCTTCCATGTGGGGCTTTCACTGCTGACCCTCGGCAGCCTCCAATCTCCCTACTGGGCAGGTTGGCCTTTTCACAGAAACGCAGGCCCCATTTTAATGGCAGGCCCATCCACAGGGAGTTGGCACGGGGCTTCCTGTTTCGTGAAGATGCATTTGGCACGTGCGGGAAGTGAAGGAGGCAGAAATTAGAGCCAAAGTTGGGAGAATGAAGAGGCACTAATATGAATGTCAGGACAGTCAAATGTCCTTGCAAAGTGGCAGTGATTTTGGTCCTACAGGTTTCTTAACACACAGCAGCTTGCTCAGGCACGGAGGGGGTGGAGAAAACTTCCTCCCAGGCATATCCTCCACCCCCTCAGCTGCAGACCCCCTTTAAGGCAATGCGGGGTCCAGAAGCAGGGGCTGAAGGGGGAACACAAAAACAAAAGAGAAGTTAACAACAAATCACTTTGGGAGTTTAATCTGATTTTTAATATATACATATACATATATACCTATACATACATATATATATATATATATGTGTGTGTGTGTGTGTGTGTGTGTGTGTGTGTGTGTGTGTGTAAACAATATGAACATTATGCAATGATCACAATTGGGTTTCTACATTCAGGTCTAAGATGACATATACAGCCAACATTAGCTTTGTCTTGTGTAAATGTTCTCATTTTTAATGAAGCAAATCCTTTCAAATGTTATAATAATAATAGTAGTAGTAGTAATAATAATTTATTTGTATGCCACTCTATCTCCCTAAAGTGGTTTCCTGCATATAAAGCAAACATTCAGTTGCTGGACAGGACCATATAGACAATTACATCAAGATAAACACGTTTGACAGTATAACACAATATAATTAAACTTAATAAACAAAAAAAAAACAGCAACTAAAAAATATCATAAAATACAAAAAATCTACTAAAACATAGCAAGGATAAAAATATTAGAAACACATTTCATTGTTGATGTTTCAAATGTTGGCTTGCATACTAAATGGGGATGGCTAAGTCCACTTGATGGGTTAACATGGTTATTAAGGTATACCATAAGATGCAAAACTTTTGTCTTATTCTGTTTATATCTTATGTCTTCTATATCAGAGATTAATATTTCCACCAGTACCAAATGCCATACTTGTTTCACCCATTTCCCCCCCACAAAGCACCATCTATAAAAGTCAGTGTATGTCTGTCTGTCCCATAAAGGCTAGGTAGAGTGGCCCTCTGTGATGTTCTTGGGCTGGCTGTTGCTAGGTGAAGGACTATCTGTTGCTAGGTAAAGTGGCCCTCTGTGATGTACCTGGGGAGGGGAAAGATGACATGTGTATGAGGGGAAGGAAGGGAGGGAGAAAAGAAAGAGCCACAAAGTGAGCCATGTTGCCATAGTGATATTTTGAGGTAGGTCCTCTCATTGCTGGAGAAGGCAAAAAAAGGGAGGGGAAGGAAGGAAGGAAGGAAGGAAGGAAGGAAGGAAGGAAGGAAGGAAGGAAGGAAGGAAGGAAGGAAGGAAGGAAGGAAGGAAGGAGGGGAAAAAGGAGGAAGGGAAAAAAGAAGGAAGGAAGGAGAAAAGAATGGAAAGAAAGCAAAGAAGGAGGGAGGGAGCGAGGGAGGGGGAAGAAAGAAAAGGAGAGAAGGAAGGAAGAGAAAGGAAAGAGGAAAAGGTATGATGGGAGGGAAAGCAAAAGACGGGATGGAAGCAGGGAGCAGCGGCCCTCTGACACCTGGACATCATAATAGGATATTAGAGCTGGAAGGGACCACAAGGGCCACCGAGTCCAACCCCCTACTATGAAGGAAAACACAACTAAAGCATTCCTCAAAAAATCCTTTCCATTTTCAGCAATCTCCAAAAATGGAGAATCCACCACACCCGAAGGCAGTCTGTTCCACTGTTCAGCAGCTCTTACAATAAAAACCTTCTTCTTAATGTTTAGGCAGGATCTCTTTTCATGTAATTTGAATCCATTGGTTCTCATTTTAGACTCTGGAGAAGAAGAGAAGCTCACTCCATCTCCTATTGTCCCATCAGATGTATAAATATAACTATCTCAAATTCCTCTTTTTCAGGCATGAGAAAATTATCCATTCCTTGTGGTTTAAGGTTTTATGTTGCTTAGTAAAGACTGAAAAACACACCCAGTACTGGAAATATAAGTTGGCAGAAGCTGAGGCTAACAGCAGGAGTTCACCCCACTCGCCGGATTCAAAACACCAACCTTTCAGTCAGCAAGTTCAGCAGCTCATCGGTTTAAGAAAATAGTAAACAGAAAAACGTTTTCATATCTAACTAGTTTGAGTCGGCCTTAAGTTTTAAAAGACTGCAGCTCAGATATGTAAATGAAACTGATTTATATTAAAGGAACTACAAGAGTCTTCCTGCTTTTTAATTTTTAAAGAGTCTGAATAGGGGAGAAAAATTCCAAGTATATAGCTGCCCCACAATTTAATGCACTGGATAACCTGAGCTACTTGGCACTACATAAATTCAAGAAATAAATAAAAGCATTTTCTCCCATACAATCTTGAAAACCACCATACCACTCTAAACACATTGATCTCTGCATTTAGAAACTAAGCAGGGCTGCATTCGGCTAATACATGGATAGAAAACCACCAGGAAATACCAAGTATCTCCAGAAATGGCTGGGAAGGAATTCTGCCTGAATTCCTGGAGAATCATTGCTATGCTGTATGTATCTATGGCACCTGAAAAAATATAATTCTGGAGCCAAAAAAAAAATATGCAAATGAACAAAATCACAAAACCAGAAATCAGCAATCATGTCGGCTCCTGACTAAGTCTAAGACAGTATTTACATCTCACAAAAGGATTTTCTCCAGCAAATACTTTTAGCTACTTGCCAATGCTGTAAGAGGATGAGAACATGAAGCCCTGCCATGAATGCTCTACCCTTCCCCTTAGTCTACAAGCAAACTCTGCTCCAACTAATAGGCTGCTAGAAAGAAAAATATTATTATATTTATTTATACTCCACTTTTCTCTCTTGACTGAGACCATATTATTATTATTTGAAATGTAACAAGATTAGTACACAGCAAAAAAGATCACTCTGCTGGCTGTTGTATTGAATCACACGTTGGACACCTCCCAAGTGTTTAGGACTGTGTGATGTATCGGCGAATAATGCGTGCAGATTATTATTATTATTAGATACACAATAAGATTAATACCCAGCCAATAAGATCACTCTGCTGGCTGTTGTATTGGATCACACATTGGACACCTCCCAAGTGTCTAGGACTGTGTGATGTATCGGCGAATAACACGTGCAGATTATTATTATTATTATTATTATTATTATTATTATTATTATTATTATTATATACACAACAAGATTAGTACCCAGCCAACAAGATCACCATGTTGGCTGTTGTATTGGATCACACATCGGACACTTCCCAAGTGTATAGGACTATGTGATGTATTGGCAAATAATGTGTACAGATCCCAGTAAGATGGCCTTCAGCAGCTGGCAGATGGTAATCTTGTCAGTGCCAATTGTGTTTAAGTGTAGGCCAAGGTCTTTAGGCACTGCACCCAGTGTGCCAATCACCACTGGGACCACCTTTACTGGCTTGTGCCAGAGTCTTTGCAGTTCAATCTTTAAATCCTAATATCGTGTCAGCTTTTCCAGTTGCTTCTTGTTGATTCTGCTGTCAACTGGGATTGCAACATTAACGATCCATACTTTGTTGTTTAACACAATCGTGAAGTCAGGGGTATTGTGCTCCAAAACTCTCTCAGTTTGATTATTATTATTATTATTATTATTATTATTATTATTAACATTATGTAAAACAGTTTGGGGGAAAAATCTGTTTCTGGTTTTAAAGTGTTATTTTCTGTTTAATTGTGCAGTACTTACTTTGAAAGTGGTTGTTATGCTCCACTTTGTTTTTGTGGCTGCAACAAACTATGTCAAATTGGTTGAGACTCAATGAGATAGTCATTGAAAAACTATAGTGAAATATGCTGCAGGATGTCCCACAAAAACAATTTTTTGCAGTTTAATAACTTTTCCATGTTTTTATGATAGAGCCAATTAGGAAATGGTGTTAAATAGTGTAATACCCCACTTTTTCTCACTAAAAGGCATCCAAAGCAGCTTACAGTAAAACCAGTACAATACCAGTACAATATCTATCTATCATCTATCTATCATCTATCTATCTATCTATCTATCTATCTATCTATCTATCTATCTATCCACACACAAACACATTAAAATAGAATTAAATATTAACAGTATTAAAAATACAGTTAAAATCCTTAAAACTGATTTGCAGCCCCTCAGTAAAGAGTCCAACAGACTGCACTTTAGTGAAACTGGTACATGATGATCAGGGTCTAAGCCAATTCAGACATCACACCCTCCTGATAAGCTGCAGAAACAGTGGTGGAATCTCCTTTTCTGGGGATATTTAAACAGAGGCTGGATGGACATCTACCAGGAGTGCTTTGAGTGGGTATTTCTACATGACAGAATGGGGCTGGACTAGATGGTTCTTTGGTCTTTTCCAACTCTGTGATTCTAATTTTTTGATTTCTGCATTAAATTACTCCAAACAGGAGCCATGTTTGTGTATATTTGTTCTAGAAATGGCCATTTTTAAAAATTAACTCACTCAGTGTTAATTCTCTCCCTTCGGAAACATTTCAGGGCCTGACATGGACAAAAACAAAAATACATAATCCGCGAGGTAAAAAGGCAACACCCTATTTCTAGCCATTTGGATGCTTCTGTCCCAGAGACACTCCACTTAGTCCTGTTTTGACCACTCCTTATCAACGGCACAGAGTGTGTACTTATTGATCCAGCTCTTTGTTTATGGACACATATGCTCCCTCACGCAGCCAGATTGCTTGAGCTATAAGGAACTAAATGAAAATGTCTTGCAAACATTGTGGCACAATTTGCTTCTTTCTTGTTTGTTTTGATGTCATTTGTTTATGTTTTTTGCAGGCATTGAATGTTTGATGTATGTGTTGGAAACTGCCCTGAGTCCCTTTTGGGTAGATAGGATAGTCTGCAAATAAAGTTTTTAAATTATTATTATTATTATTATTATTATTAGGGACTGCCGGAATAAATATTTCTAAGATTTTATTTCCTTTCAGCTCAACAGCACACAAGTCCACTACCAAACAATGCATAAATAGATGCAGGCGAAACGTCAGGAGAAAATGCCTCTAGAACATGGCCATAAAGCCTTCGACAATACAATGCATAAATATATTTGCTAATAAAAGGAACATACTAAATGTGTCTGATAAAGTGAACTCTAGTATAATCCATAAACATCTATTAAATAATGTTTTTTCCCCTTCAAGATGCTATACAAGAATTTTAAGGTGCCACAAGAAGCTGTGATTTTTTTCCCCAGCCACCCTTTTAGAGTCCATCTGCACTGTAGAATTAACACAGTTTGACACCACTTTGACTGCCATGGCTCAATGCTATGGGATCCTGGGAGTTGTAGTTTTACAAGCTCCCTGCCAAAGAGGGTTGGGCCAAACTTCAATTCCTCTGGTTTCATAGCACTGAGCCATGGAAATTAAAGGGGTGTCAAACTGTATTCATTATACAGTGTAGATGCACCTTTACAGAGAAGAGACCACAAAAGCTTGGTCGGCCATTGAGTTTCCAATTTTGGGAATGGAGTGGAGTAGCCCAGGTCTTAAAATCCAACCCAAACTGGGCTGGGCCACACTGGCTCACTTACCCCACTTCTACATCGGTTTAAAGGGAATCCCCCACTCTTACCTCTCCCCACTCCACCATTCAAAGGCACTCCCAGAGAAACCCAGGCAGAAAAAGCAAAGAAGGAAGGAGAAGAAATGTTGTATTTACCTTCAGCTTCAATGGCAACCCCTTCCAACCCCAGCCCAAGCGGAAACGGAAATGGGGAGCCCCAGAGAAGCCACCCTTCCCTTGTACGGATTCTCTTGTTCGTACAACATGGCGGCTTCCACCGTCGAAGTAAAGTTGCTGGAGAAAATTTCACACAAGTGATGCTTTGGGGGTGCTCCTATCACGCTTCTTGAGTTCTAGAAGCGTAGTCTCTCCAGGAATTTGGTAATAGGAAAGAAAATGGGAAGAATTTTGTTTGTTTACTGGTGGATTAAAGAATCTCACTGTGAGGCGCCATATTGGGTTACGTAACGGAGGAATGTACCATTCGTCGGCGTCCCGTCCCCCCCGCGCGCAAGATGGTCTCGCCCAATGAAAAGGCCACTAGGGCAAGTCGTAGCAGGATAAAGAAAACAGAGCTGCAAATAGCACAGTGGATTGTGCAACTCTGAAGACAACTCATCATAATCAATTCGATGTTATATATACACACACACATATATACATATATATACACACATACACATTAGATACACACACACATACGCACACACAAGGGTTGAATGAAAAGTAATGCCTCCACCTTCATTACTTGGGTTTGGGTGGGAATATTTTAATAAATCAAACGCTGAAATAATCCTTAGAATGTGCTCTTTAACTACCACTATTCACTTTCCCACATAAACACCAGACAATTGGATACATTTCTGCCAACAACGAACAAGTTTTTTGAAGCCGTCACAGAAGAAGTCGACGCTCTGTTTCCGCAACCAGCATCTGTCTCACACTTCTCTCATCCTGGGTACCCATTGTGCACAGATCTTCCGATTGCCAAGCAAAGCAATAATGTGACCCACACGTTCTTGTGAGATGCCGATTATGCTTGAAATTTCTCTCTGAGTGATACGACGATCATCCTGAATCAATCTGGCAACCTTTTGCTTGTGGAACTCAGTGGTTGCTGTCACAGGACGTCCAACTCTTTGTCATGCAAGTCAGATGTTCCCACCTCAACATCTTTAAACTTACTCGCCCAACGACACACAGTACTCACATCAACACAATCACCATAAACAGCTTGCATTCTCTGATGAATCTCCTTCTGCTGTCAAGAATTCAATGACTGCATGTTTCTTTAAGTCGCATTGACCGACCATCTGTTCAGGGTTCCATACTTTGCACATTAACAACACAATCATTCAATGCTAAGGCCTTCCATCAAAATGGAACTGTAGAGGAGAGTCTACTGAACAAGCCAGTACCTGCCGCATACCAGTACTGCCATCTGTTGAGGAGTTACGAAGGTGGAGGCATTACTTTTAATTCAACCCTCGTATATATACACACACACATACACACATCCATATGCTCACTATTTTCTCCTGCTTTTTAACATGATATACATATAAATATCTCAATATTGATATATATGACTTTTTCGGTGGGATTCAGTGTGTTCTCTGGCTGTAGGGTAAACTACAACTCCCACTATGTTGAGTCAGTCCCCTCAAATCCCTCCAGTAGGTTGAATTACATGGGGTTCTGTGTGCCAAGTTTGGTCCAGGTACATCATTGGTGAAGGTCACCATTTCTCTGGTTGTGGGTGAACTACAACTTCCAGAAAGGAAGGTTGGTTCCCCCCAAACCCCTCCAGTAATCAAATTTTGGCATATCAGGTATGTGTGCCAAGTTTGGTCCAGATCCA